AATAAGTGAAATGAACTAAATCAGTGCTCTCTAAAGTGTGGTCCATCTACTGGCACTATCAGTATCCCCCGGGAGCTAGAAGTGCAAACTATCAGGCCCTATCCCGTGTTTAATGAACAGAATCTCTAGGTGAGGCTGAGAAATCTGCATCTTAATAAGCTCTTCTACTCTAGCATATATAAAGTTAGAGAAGCACGGAATTCTAAATCACTGTACCAGCCTGGCCTCAAGCGGCAGGGGACGGCCAGAAAACCCTCCTGGAGATGACTGGTGCTCTCAGCCTGCGGAGGTCTTGTACCCCCAGCCCCAGAGCACTCCTCAGCCACTGGGTTTATTTTATTTTTTCTCCCCGAGCCACACTTGTGGCACCCTGCAACATCAAGCAGTGATTGAACAGAAGCACAGGACTGACCGTATCTGGAATCTCCCAGTAGGTAACTTCCTGCATCCTAAAAAAAGAGCATTGTTTCAGACGGAGATCACACACTGGCCTTGACTGCTAAAGTCCTTGGCAATGGAATTTGGAAACCAATAAATGGATCCTAGGCCCCCTTCATTGTGGGGCAACCATGTGATACAATGCCGCAAGCATAGAGACAAGGGAAGAAACATCCCTTCATGGATTTCTAAGCTGTTGATCCCCAAACCTATCAGTCTTGAATTGACCCTTAACCACATTTGCCAGTGAATTTTCAACAAGCTACCATATCTCAAAAAAGTTTATTTTAATCTAAAAAAAATAAACCCACAAAAAACAAAAGCTGGGGAAGACTGATGAGCATGACACAAAGGATGGGAGTGTGCAACATACGAGTGTATGTTCTCTGCCCTCCTCATGCTCAGTCCACCTCCTCAGTCTGAGTGATCTCCTTACTGCCACAGCAGCTGTCACTTTGAGCAGGTGAGTACTAAATGGTATCACTTTTTTGTCACGTCCAGACCCATGATTTTAGCTCTTGTCAAACATTCCCTCTTGAGCACTTTCTATTCCAATATATCCAAAACCAAGCTCGCTTTTCTCCCTTTAAACCTGATCTTCCTTCTGTCTTCCCTGTCTCTATTTTTGGTGCCACCTCCTTAGGCTACAAGTCTTAAGGTCGTCTTCTTATGTTCTTCTAATATCCTTGATCCTGACAATCAAAAAAGTAACTAAAATTTCCTATTATCTCTACTTGCAACGTCATAAATATTTGACTTTTTTCCCCTATTTTATTGTTGTTGTGGCCAATGTTGAGGCACATGTTTCCTACACCCTAAGGGTCTCCCACATATAGATATATAAGTAGAGAGAGTCATCCATCTACGTATTTCTCCACCTACAGCTGATGAATTTTAAAGAAGAAATTGGGTAATGAGATTTTTTTGATAAAGGCCAATATCACAGGGGTTAGGTGATATCTCATTGTGGTTTTGATTTGCATTTCCCTAATGATTAGAGATGTTGAGCATTTTTAAAATATTTTTGCTGGCCATCAGTCTGTCTTCTTTTTTTTTAATTTTTTAAATTTATTTCATCATATTATGGAGATACAAATATTGTTAGGGTTACAAATATTGCCCCTGTCCCCCTCCCTGCCCCAGATGTGTCCAATCCCCTGGTGGTGTGCATCACACACGTTATGGAAACATACACCCCTTTCCTCCTCCCCCTACTGCCGCCCGATAAAAATTTTTGTTTTGATTTTTTTCTTTGACATTTTGGTTACACTGTATATCTTTGCCTCTCCCTAAGAAGGGTTAGAGTTATGCCCTTCCCTTCCAAAATACTCGCCACCTCCCTAAGATTGGGTCCCCCCCTCCCAAATCCCTGGTGAGCATTGCCATCGTTTGAAAACCATAGTTTTAATCAGTCAGTACCAATTTGATGGCGATGAGATGTAGGGCCCATTTTCCATGTCTTGTGTCGCCTCACTTTGGATAACGGGCTTAAACTTAATCCAGGATAGCATAAACGGTGCCTAGCTCACCGTCATTTCTTAGGACTGAGTAATATTCCATTGTGAGGATAAACCACATTTTATCCACTCAGTCTGTCTTCTTTTGAAAAATTTCTGTTCATATCCTTTGCCTATTTATTGATGGGGTTGCTTGATTTTTTTTCTCAAATTTCTCATCTTTCTTTCTTTCTTTCTTTCTTTCTTTCTTTCTTTCTTTCTTTCTTTCTTTCTTTCTTTTTTTCTTTGAGTTCTAGATAGATCCTTGTTATCAGCAGTGAGTGTTGTAGCGGGGAAAGGGCATGCCTCAAATCATGGTTTGGGTGTGGCAAAGTCATAACATGTAACCAAAATATTTGTACCCACATAATATCCTGAAATTAAAAGAAAAGAAAAGAAAAGAAATGGGGTAATGAGAACCCAATCCCCTTTTCTTCTCTTCTTGCAAGTGAGCTCCAACAGAAAGCACATTCTCCTCCACTTCTCAACGCCCTAAATATTACAAAGGCAGATACTGCTCTTGCAATAGGAGTTTTGGGAGTAAGTTCACCTCGATATCTACTACTCATTCATCTGAATCATCAAAATTGTTTTCTAACTGGCCTTTCTGCATCAATCTTTTTCTCTATTACAATGTTGTATTAGCGCCGAAATAAGATTCCCAAACAGAACTCCAATGCAGTTACTCCTCTCGATATTGTTTGAAAAATAGTTCCCAAATCTGGTGGTCATGAGTCTCACTCAGAGAAGCGTTTTATGAATATGAATTTCTAGCTTCCCAGTTCCTCAAAGTTTTGATTCAGCAGTTCTGGGACAAGGCCTAGGGGCCTGGCATATATTTTGTAAAGTTCCTTGAGTAGTTTAAACATTTTTACAGATTGGAAAGTAATTGTCTACATTATAAAATCTAAGTAAGGATGGGTAAGGATAGAATTCTTGGCAATTAGTTCTCCAAGTCACCTTCCTGGTTATTTCTTTTTCTTTTTTTTCCTTAGTTTCTTAATGTTAGTTTTTGTATTTTTTATTGTAGTAAACATGCATAACAAAATTTATCATACTTACCATTTTATGAAAATTAACAGGCTTTTAGGTTCACATCAAGTTTGAGTAGGAAAAACAGAGTTCCCATAGCCCCTTCTTCCACACCCCCAGCCTCCTCCGCTATCTCACTTTGCTCTTTGTGTTGTACATTCTATGGTTTTTGGCAAATGTAAGACATATATCTACTATTATAGTATCACGCTACCATACAGAACAGTTTTCCTGCCCTTAAAATCATCTGTGCTCCACCTATGCATCCCTCCCTCTCTTTCCCGGTTCCCCTGGCAACCACTGATCTTTTTATTAGCTCCACAATTTTGTCTTTTTCAGAATGTCTGTAGTTGGACATATAGTTTGTAGTCTTTACAAGCTGACTTCTATCACTTAACAATACGCGTCTAATGGTCCTCCATGTCTCTTTGTGGCTTGGTGGTTCGCTTCTTTTGGCATGAATAATACTCATGGATGTACCACAGCTTATTTATCCATCCTAGTTGTTTCTTTATTTCTTATTATTTTTCGTCTTCTTACATCTTTTAAATTTAGTTTGATCTGCCCCAGCTCTCCTTTGTTATTCCCAAACTATGCTACCATGTACATTTGTTCATGATGCTTTCTCCGTCTAGAATGTCTCGTCTCCCTCCTCTTCTTTCATTTTTGCCTACTGAAATACCACCACTTTTTCAGAGCCCAGATTAAAGGCCAAATTTGTGGTGAAGTTTTCTCATCCCTTTTAGCTGGGAGTAATTGTTGACTCTCTGGGTCTCCCACCATCACCACCACCATTTATGGCTCTTATTAGATGCTCCATTGAAATGTGGTTTTTAATATTTTCATTTTATTATTACTTCTAAATTGTATATTTATTCTCTTCAATAAGAAAAACTAGGTTGTGTTTATTTCTGTAAGCTCCACAATATCTAGCATTGCAGTTCCTTGCATCAAGTTTAATATATATTTGTTAAGATAATTTGAACTCTTTAGCAGAAGCTTGGATTCCATCATATTTGAATAGATGCTAAAGCAGTTTAGACTGATGGTCCTCTTATGCATGTTGGTGGGCCATCTTTCTCTACTTCTCTCCTTTTGACTGAAAAAGATTAAATTTTTAAAAAATTTCCATTGTTAGAGGCTGGGGATTGAATGGGCAAATGTTTTCAAAGATATGGGTAATATTACAGCCTCAAACACACTTAACCCCCCACATTGTCTTACATGAGAATTGGTAAATAAAAGAAAACAATATTTACGGAATGGATAGATATATGGATGAAAAGATGAGCACTTAAACTAGCAAGAGGATATTCTGCAAAAGCCCCACATTATATTGTCAAACTGTGAATTATGATTTTTGATTGGGGAAATATATAACTGTAGAATACAATAACCTAGGATACAGAATCTAGTCTATTGACTACTTGATTTTACTTTTTCTTTTTTCTGTTTCCTTTGAACTTGACTTGAAAAATCTCATAAATGGTCAGTTTGGAGACTGTGATTTTCAAGAACCCGGGCACCTTGGCTTATGCACCTTGTATTTTCTTCTCCACAAAATCTTATACATAAATCAAACAGAAATGTGATCCATACTTCCTGAATTGAATAGAAATAAAAGTTGGAATTGGCTCCTAACTTAAAACATGCTCCACTAGATAGTTTTCCATATACTTTCCCCTGCCTCAGTAGACTATACGTAGGGACAAGTCTTACTTACCCCTAAGATTTTCATTTTTGGAGCAAATGATCTTTGCAGGGGGCTTTGATTCCCATAGGTCGCAGCTGAAAGGTTTGATGACTCAGATTCGGGAGTAGCAATCTCTGGAGGAAATACCAGAAACACGGGACTATGTGCAGCACTTGGATCCATAATAGTGTGGTTGGTATTTTGAAGTGGCAGAAAATGATTTAGTTGGTACTTCAGTGTAGACTATGTTGTTTTCCTGTGCCAATGCTGTCTGGACCCCTGGCATTGTTGCGCTCTATCTTGGAATTATAGAACCATAGTGTCACAGAGCCATAGAACCTTGGGACTGGTCAAGGTCCCAAGAAAATTAGTAAGTAAAATGTACTGTTCTAGGTATTTCACATACAATGAAAAATTTATTCCTCATAGTGTCTCTGTGGATAATAATTTATATTTGTAACAACTTTTTTCCTTGAAATAATTTTATTTAAATTATTCACATTCACATTCAGCATCAGTGACTTCATCATATGTAGGGCTACTTTTAAAAGATATTTTATTTTTAATTGACTCTTGATTTGACTTTTAAAAAAGCACAACTGATTGAAGACATGCATGTGCTGTCATTCTTTCCAGTCTATTAAAACTTCAGAAAAGTGATTTTTTTAAATAATAAAGACGAACATTTAATTAGAATTTAACTGAGTTGGAAAACATTATGGAGATAAATCATATAACCAGACAGATGGTATCACTAAAAATTCATGATTAACATTGCCACATAGACACTCAGCATCACCCCAGAAATCCCACATTTCCCTAATAAGCTAGATCTTATTATCCTGGTAATGTTTATTTGATCATTTTTGTCACTCCTCAAACTCCCATACCTGCTTCTCATTTCCTCATTTTCAGCTAACAACCTTGTTGAAATGGAAGTTACCAGAAGGGAGATCACTCATTGTCCCAATACCAAATTCAAAAACCCACTTGAAACTCAGTCTTATTCCTCACTCCTATTTCTGTGGAGGAAGTTCTATAAAAGCCAAGCCCTTCTATAAAAGCCAGGCCTCCTACACAGGTACCCCTCCTGTCTTCTAAGGTTTAGTTATTCCCTTCATCTCTGGCATCTCTTTCTCTCTCTGTCTCTCTATCTCTGTCTCTATCTCTATCTCTATCTCTATCTCTATCTCTATCTATCTCTTGACTATTCCAATCAGTATAAATGTTCTAGGATCAGATAGCTTAGAAAGAAATTCCTACTGATATCATCACCTTTTAGTTTCTGTTTCATTTCTTTTCTCCACTCTATGGTAAGACATCTTGAAAGAATGATCTCCCTACTTTGTGTTTACTTCCTCATGTTCACTGATGACAACTAGGTTGCCAAATCCAGTGTATGTTTTTCTATCATTATCATACATCCCATCAGCACGTGATGAGCACCTCATCCTCAAATTTAAACCATCTCTTCTCTTGCCTTCTGAGACCCCAGATTTTCCTTCTCTCTCTCTTTCTCTCTCTCTGTCTTTCTCTCCCTCTCTATCTCTATCTATCTCTTGACTATTCCAATCAGTATAAATGTTCTAGGATCACCTAGCTTAGAAATAAATCTCTCTGCTCTCATCCACTTTTAGTTTCTGTTCATTTTCTTCTTCACTGTAAGTCGCAACATCTGCAACAGCACTGCATGTTCCTCGCTTTATCTTTCGTCCCTCCTCGTGTCACTGACTGACTAGTTGCCGAACTCAGTGTCTCGCTTTTCTCTCATCATCCGTACACTTCAGCAACACTGACAGCTCACTTGTCTCAAATTTCAAACATCGTCATTTTCTTGCTTCTAACCCAGATTCTTCTCTTCTCTGTCTCTCCCCACCCTTTTCCTTCTCCTGTAACCATTGCCCAGGTCTTTCTCCTTTACTTTCTTTTATTTCAAATCATTAAGGGGGTTCTTTTTCAAACAGATGTTTTTGTCATGACCCGCTTTTATACATCAGCTTGATCCGGCTATTAGTTGCACATCCCGGAACCACGTGTTCATTGTACCGTGTTATGATAGGTCTCTCTCATTGCCCCTCTGCTCTCCCTTTCCCTGCTTGACTTCCCAATGCGCTTTCTCTTCTCTGTGCCCCCACTTGCATTAGCTTCCAGCTTACCTTACGCCAGAGTACCACGGTATGTCCGTCCGTTTTCCTTCTTTCTTCCGCCCTTCCTCTTCTTCTCTCTATTCTTTCGTTTCTTCTTTCTTTCATTCTCTTTCCTTTCTTCTCTTTCTTCTTTGCCTCTTCTTCTTTCTGTTTTCTTCTTTTCTCTTCTTGCTCTACCCCTGGCCCCCTTTCTTCTTCTCTTTTTTTTCTTTCTTTTGCTTTCTTCTTCTCTTCTTCTTTTCTCTTCTTCTCTTTTCTTGTTCCTCTTTCCTTCTCCTTGTTCTCCATTCTCCTTCCTCCTTTTCTTCTTTTTTCTTTCTTCTTTTTTGAGACAGACTCCTCCACTCCTTCTTGCCCCCCCGCGCTCACGAGTGAGTGCCGATGGCGGTCAGCTCTAGCCTCACGCAACCCTCAAATCTCTGGGCTCAAGCGAATTCTGCTGCCTCAGCCTCCGAGCTAGCTGGGACTACAGGCCCATCGTGCACCATCCGGGCTTATGTTGTTTCTCTATACGTCACTTAGCCTCTGGCCAACTAATTTCCTCTTCTCTATTATAGTAGCAGACAGGGTCTCGCTCTTCCTCAGCGGCCCTGCGTTCGAACTGCTGACCTCGAGCAACCTCCGCCCTCTCGGCTCCAGACGTGCTAGGATTACAGGCATGTCGAGCCACCACCGCCGGGCCTGGCTGTCTCGTCCTTCCTTCCTACTTTCCTGCCAGATATATCACTTAGACTCATGGTCTCCACTCTCCATCCATATTGCTCGCACAGGACCTACAATCTGTCAACCTAATCCGTTCTTTTTATGGCTCGAGTAGTCTTGCCATGGCATACCCTCTACCACTCCTTATAAGGTCGCATTTCCTCACACCATCCACCGCTGACGAATAGAAAATTTGACAAAATAGCAAAATTTTCAAATCTGGAAGATGGATGAGTAAAAACCTGACGAATCTGTATCTGACGCCAGCACAGGGAAGCATTGAGAACCAAAGCAATGTATATGCAGAGTCCTCAGAAGCCTCAGAACTGAAGACATTAGTTACGTGAAGAAGTAGGGGTTAAGAAAAAGGAGTTTCCAAAATGAAAATAAAACTTGTCTATGACTCTATGCCCCTCTGCCAACTGACTCTCCCTCCCATCCCTGAAGAAGATAGTACATTATCCTGAGGAGAGAGTACTTAAGGGTAACTGACCATAGGTACAGTTGAGGGAAGAGGTAACAGATGAAAATAGGATAATTATGGAAACAGTTACTATTAAATATTAATACCTCCAGTTTGCTTATTTCACTTTCTATTTGGCCCTTAATAACTAGGTAGGAGAATGTAATAGTCTCTTTGGGGGAATCTGAACATCAAAGAAAAAAAATCTAAAGATACCGAAATCTAGGGTTTCTTAACCAATGATACAGAAAGTCTATCCTACATTGAAGCCCACAGATGGCAAACCCTGTCTGTGTGTTCCAAGCTCCCAATGCAATTTTCTCATATTTCACTCTATTTATGAACAGACAACCAATAATTACTAGACATCTGAAGGAAGGTGAAATATAGAGACCAAAATAAAAAGAAAAAATAAAGGCTAGGTAGGAGAAGAAAACTTGATAAAAATCCATCAATACACTAAGAGGTATAGGAAAAAATATTACATAAATAGAAATAGAATACTATAAAATGGAAACATTCAGAACAAATGATCTCTTGGAAATAAAAATGATAATAAAAAAGAAAGCCCTCAGTCAAAAGATTGGGATATTTAGTTGAGTAAATTAACCAGAATAGAGCAAAAATACAAAATGACAGACAATAAAAGAGAAAAATATAATAATAACTGTAATAACATGGCCAATTGAGGAGTTTCAGTAGTAGTTACAGAAAGAGAAAAGAGAAAAAATGGAAGTTAGAAAATAATTTACATCAGAATACCTAGAAAAGTTGTTAAAAATTAGTCCCTATGAATACATTTCAGAACAGTTGGTACAAAGGAAACATCCTTCAAGATTCCAAGAGGAAAAATAAAATCAAGCCATATTAAAAGACTAGGTATCAGAACGGCTTTGGACTTTTCAACAGCAAAACTGGAAGTGAAAAGGCAATGAACCTCTAAATATTCAGAAGAAAAATTGCTTCCAATCTAGACTTCCGTAGCCAAGACAAACCATCAAACAATACAGAGGGTACAAATTAAAACATTTTCAGATGTGCACAATCTCCAAATTTTATCTCCCATGTGCTCTTTCTCAAAAAGCTGCTGGAAACATGAAAGGAGGTCCCTCATTAGCCAGCAGGGAAATGCAAATTAAAGCCACAGTGAGATGTCAGTACAAACCTATTAGGACAGTTAAAAGAGAGATGCGATAACACCAAATACCTGTGAGGATGCAGAGACTGGATCTCTTATACATTGCTGGTGGGAATGTAAAAATGGTAAAGCCACTCTGGAAAATAGTATGTTAGTCTCTTATAAAACTTTACTTACACTTATTTTACAACCCAGCAATTGCACTCTTGGGTATTTATCCCAGAGAAATTAAACCTGTGTTCTCATACAAGCCTGTACATGAATATTTCTAACAGTTTTTATTCCTAAGAGGAAAAATCAGTAATGTCTTTCAATAGATGAATGCTTAAACTAACCCTGGTACTTCATACAATGCAATAATACTCAGCAATCAAAAAGAATGGGAAAAACAAGCACCACATGTATTCACCATCAAATTGGTATTAACTGATAAACACTTAAGTGCACATATATTAATGACAGGTGGGAGGGGGGAGGAAGGGATGGGCATATTCACGCATAATGGGCGCAGAGTGCACCATCTGGGGGATGTACACGCTTGCAGCTCTGACTCAGGTGGGACAAAGGCAATATATGTAACCTTAACATTTGTACCCCTGTAATAGACTGAAATAAAAAAAAAAATTAAAGTTAAAACAGGAATTCAATCATACATCAAAGAAAAAACACAAAAAGAATGAACTAATGATACACAGAACATTGATGGGCCTCAAGGGCATTGTGCATAGTGAGAGAAGTCAGTCTCAAGAAGTTAAATACTGTATGATTCCATTTATATAACATGCTTGAAATGGCAAAACAATGGAAATGGAGAACAGATTAGTGATTGCCAGGGAGCAAGGATAGGGTCAGGGGTGGGGTGTTAATAAAAAGAAGTATCATGAAGAAGTTTCTCTGTGGTGATGAAACAACTCTGTATCTTGATTGTGGTGATGGCTACACCTATCCTATATGCATAGGATAAAATAGCCTAGAACTGCACACACACACAGACACACACACAAATAGACGCAGGATAAAAAATGGCAAAAACTGAATAGTCCGTAGTCTAGTTAATTGTAATGTACCAATGTCAATTTCCTGGTTTTGATATTGTACTACAGGTATATAAGATGTCACTATCAGGGGAAGCTGAGTGAAGGGCACACCACACTTTAGTTTCAAAGACAGAATTTTGGGTGAATCCTATAATTACTTCCAAATACAAAAAAAAAAAAAAAGTTTTACAAAACTTTAACACACACACATATTACTTCATATATATGCTTCATATATATATTACTTTCATACTTCAATATACATACTTCAGTATATATATATATACTGTATATTGAAGTATGAAATAAAAATAAAGTATGTGCATGTATTCCTTTTGATTTCTATGTTAGAAAATTACCCAGAAAGCAGTTCTTAAGTACATTAAAATCAAATAAATGTGTTATATCCATATATGGGGAAAGAGGAAAGAAAAGCTTATGGAGTATTTATTTTTTCATAACAACAGAGGACAGCAAGAGAAATAAATGAGACATAAAGTAAAAGAAGGGCCATGAAAAATAAAATATCTCTGGGATGATGACAAGGAGATCCCAGGATGGCAGCTGTACCATCATGGAGAACATGTAGGCTGGGCATCTCCAGTGAAGGCTTCTTCACGTAAATGACATTGATATGGCTTGTAATATGAAACAGTGTGTTAAGAGATTTTGAAAACTGATGGAAAGTTTGGGATTGAAAAAAAAAAGCAACCAAAAAAAAAAGGATAAAAAGACAATTCAAGGGAAAAGAAAACACTGTGCTGGTAAGGAAAATAATAATGTATTAAGTGCCTAGCTCCGATTGCATATATAGTCATAAAGGTATGAATGGCATGTACCTCTCTGCTCAAAATTGTGATATAAATATACAGAGAGGATGGGGGTGGGAAATGCACACGTGAGGTAGTTGGGAGTTGGAGAGAGGAAAAATCATTAAATCCTAATCTTCCATAGTGAGAAGACCATTGCACTTCAACTTTTTTCACATACGGCATTTATTGAAAATGATGTTTGTCTAGTGCATGTCTGAACTAGAGGAATTTAGAGTTCCTAATAGGGCCACTTGTTACTTGCTACTCAGGATAATCATGTATGACTAGTCAACTCTTTAAACTATCTGAATATATATAACTGCGACTATTGAAATATTTAAAAAGACCACAAGGTTGACAAGGAAAGTTAATGTATTAAAAGGAAAAATAATATATTAACATATATTGAATTATTCATTTTTTCCCTTTATGACTCATGAAGAGTGGGACAGAAAACTTATGGTCTCCAGGAAGATTCCATGCCCTAACCCCCAGGACTACAAATATGATGAGGTATTACACCCATGAATATGTTATTTTCAACAGCAAAAGGGACTTTGCAGAAAGATTTAAGGTTACTAATCAATTTATCTTAAAATAAGGAGATTGCCTTGGATTATTTGAGTGAGTCCAGTGTAATCGCAGGATTCCTAAAAGCGGAAGCAGGACAGGGACTCATATTTGAAGTCTGAGCAGGACTCGACACACCATTGCTGGGTTGAAGATAGAAAGGATCACATGAGAAGCAATGCAGGTGGCTTCTAGGTTCATAAAGCAGCTCCCCGCGGGAAACAAGGAAACAGGGACCTGAGTCCTATAGCTATAAAAACTGGAATCTTCCAACACTGAATAATCTTTAAAGAGAAACCCAAGCCTCAGAGCCACAGCTTTGGCCAGTCCTCTGATTGTAGCCACATGATATTTTGAACAAATATAATAATTTAACCAGACTTTTCTAGACATATGACCTACAGAAACTGAGAGATAATAAATGTGCTGCTTTAAGCACTACATTCGTGGCAATTTGTTATGCAGCAATAGGTAACTATCTCAAGGGGATAAGAGAAAGATTCTTGCCATTTTGAGCAAGATTTGAAGTTTTTTGACTTAATGACTCTATTACTCAGCTTAGGCTAACTTCTATGACAAAGGAAGACCATGCTTTCCCTGGCTTAATACCATAACAGGTTTATTTCTCTCTTAGGTCACCATCCAGTTGAAATCCAGCAGTGGACTTTATCTGCAATGTGATTTATGGGCCAGGCTCCATTCTCTGGGGATTCAGCATTTTCTGGGTCGTGGACTCACTGCATCTGGCCAGTGCTTGAGGAAACAGACATTGTGGGAACAATGCAGGCAATTTTTGGGGTCAAGCCTGGAAGTGGTGAGCATTCCATTGGTGATAGGCACCTTCTCACCTACCTAGATGCAAAGGGGTTGGGAAGTATAATCTAGCTGTACGATACTTAATCTATCAAATGAAAGCATATTTGTAAGCAATGAACTCATTTTTTTTTTCTCCCAGTGTCTTGGGAACTGAGGGTACAAGGTGTTACAGTAGCATCTCAAAATCAACAACTTCTCCCAATTTCACCAAAAAACAAGCCTAACAGATTCCAGAAGAGACATATTATATTCAGAATAAGACAGATTTAAAAAAATTATATTGCTTTTTAAGTAAATCATACATGTCCTAGTTTCCCACAGCCTTTTGCATCTTGTTTTATAAACAGGAACTTCATGTATTTACTTTCCTTATTAGCTCCTAAACACATTTGACTTTGTCGACTCTAGACCCAAACTCACTGAAGGGACGGTATTAGGCATTTCAGAAAGGGCAGACAAGAGGGAGAATGCCTTCAAAAAGCAGAGAGGAAAGAGGGGTTCCTGCAGACTAGAAAGGTGGCTGTGGGTTTTGGGGGCACTGGGCACTTCTGCCTTGCTCCCTGGCAAGTGCCCAAGTGGGATGGAAAGACCTCAGAGGGGATGGTCTTTTACATTTTTATATTCTCACATTGTAAGTCTAGCCCATAGGCATTGTATTCTGATGGGGATAAGACCACCGGGGCTTAGGGACCCCATTTCTGAGGCCGTGGGAGGAGGGGAGGTGAAGGAATGCTGCCTGAGCAGGAGCTGGGGATAAGGGCAGAAGTTAATTGCCTAATTGGGGGACATCCCAACAATCTAGGAGTGCAGCAAAGCAGACTCCCACCTTAAAGCCTGAGGGGCCACATGCCTAAAAAGCCATGGAGTGGCTCGATATGAAAGCCACCCACAGCTGTAAAGGAAGATTGCAGAACGTCAGCCCGGGAGAAGGGATGCCAGGCTCCAACCTTTAAAAAACACCGGGTTGAGTTTCTTCCCTCCCCTTTCTCAGTAGAGTGCATCAGTTAATGGAGAGCTAACCTCCCAATAAGAATTACTAATCTCTTTGTTCCCCAATCAAATGGGCCACAGCCACTGAGTTCAGAGATACTATCTGTAGATATCTTAAGGTGTAGTTGTGCTTAGTAATGAGCTATGCATTCCTGCTTCTATAGATAAAAGAGTAATTAGCTAAGACATCTTGTGGCTATTAGGGGAGACTTGAAACTTCTACACATTGAAACCCACAAGCTTTTCACATGAAATTATTGTAATCTATAGCAATTGCAATGAGAGAGATCACAAGAGAATAAAAACAGGTGCTAGATTTCAGCCAATACCACCTGGCTCACGGGAATGCTGGTGTTCCCCCGACCTCCCCGCACCCTTTCACCTTACTTTTTTGTGTCTGTGCCTTTGTCTTTCCCATCTCTTGCAGCACACACTGCCTGGGGACCTGGTTATATCGGGGGCATCATGAACCCCCAATAGTATTCTTGCAATTTTAAAAATTTCCTGTATTCCACGTGTACTATGGAAGCAATAAGTATATAGGACACATAGGGTCTATTGGAACTGGGACAATGAGTTTCAAAGTAGTAACTGGTGTGGGCCTAGTCACTGATGACAGAATTGTCTCTCCAATGACTTGGCACTCTTTAAGTCCCTGGGATCTGTGTGTATGTGGGCATAAATTTGTATGTATGTGTGTGTTGGGTAGGTATGGTGCTGAATGGGCAAGAATGATTGCATCAGTTGGATTCTCAAAAAGAGAATTTGATTAAAAATTATAAATGCATATTTCCTGAACACCTGAGTTTGTGGACTGAAAATTAAACACATTATACAAGCACCTTAGAAACATTTGCTGATCAGCTGAAGCAAAATGTGGGAATTATTAGTATTCTTCAGAATAAGTTGAATATAGGTGGTGGTCATTCAGGAGCTACAGGCCAACTCAGGTAGGGACCTTACCTTGGTCAATCAATCATGGGAAACTGAGAAAGCTAATCCTTACTGCAAAGGCAATGGCAGCAAGGGGCATAGAGCTAGTCTCTCCAGCTCTATACCTAATTAGTCTACTATTTATAAACTCTCCACTCACCTCCAGGTGGAGAGTCCAGGCTCCCATTTATGCTTTTAAAAATAATTTATTGAATGCCTACTAGAAGCAAGCTTTTGTGCTGAATTCTATGGAAGACACAAATGTAACACAGTCTGGATTATTCACAAGAAGGTAAGAACTGCAGCTGTGTGTTGTGGTTTCAAAAAATGAAGGAAGTTGGGGAGAGATCTCTAGAAATAGCTAGTACAGAATTTTTGAGACGGGAAGAGTAAAACACAGAAGCCAGGCTGGGCACAGTGGCTCACACCTGTAATCCTAGCACTCTGGGAGGCCAAGGTAGGAGGATCGCTTGAGCTCAGGAGTTTGAGATCAGCCTGAGCAAAAGTGAGACCTCCATCTCTAATAAAAATAGTAAAAATTAGCTGGATGTAGTGGTGCATGCTTGTAGCCCCAGCTGCTTGGGAGGCTGAAACAGGAGGATCTCTTGAGCCCAGGAATTTGAGGTTGCTGTGAGCTAGGCTGACACCACAGCACTATAGCCCGGGCGCCAGAGTGAGATTCTGTCTCAAGAAAAAAACAAAAAAACAGAAGCCAATGGACAGTATAAAAATTGCAGAAAGAAGGGATGGTTAACAACTCCAAATGTGTTAGAGAGATCAAAGAGAAAGAGTTTGGGACGAAGGGCATCGCCTGATAGTGCCAGAGACCTTAGGACGCCACCTGTTGGAGCACCTACACCAGACCACGCATCTAGGGAAGAGAAAGATGCTGCAACTGCTGGACACTGCTCAACTAAGGTTCAAGTCACAAGGACGGGTTGCAGATGACATCGTCAGAAGCTGCCGAGCCAGTCAGGTTATGCAGTCGGGGAGGACCAGAGGGACCCACGCAGCTACGAGGGAAAGGGGGAGGCAGCCAGGACTATTTTGGGAAGTAGATTTCACAGAGGTCAAGCCTGGAAAATACGGGTACCGATATTTACTGGTCATGATAGATACGTTTTCCGAATGGGTAAAAGCCTTCCCTATGAAAGGAGAAACAGCTTTGACAGTAGCTAAGAAAATATTAGAAGAAATAGTCCCTAGGTATGGACTGCCGGATGGGATAGGATCAGATAAAGGACCTGCGTTTGTCAGTCAGGTTAGTCAAGGGCTGGCCCAGGCTATGGGGATAGATTAGAAATTACATTGTGCATATAATTCCCAGAGCTCTGGGCAGGTAGAGCGAATGAATAAAACAATAAAGGAGACCCTGGCTAAATTGGCCCTGGAGACTGGCGGAGACTGGGTGACCCTCCTTCCCTTCGCCCTGTTCCGAGCCCGGAACACCCCTTATCACTTGGGTTTAACCCCTTTTGAAATCATGTTCGACACACCCCCTCCTGTAGTTCCTAGGATGAGCCCTGAGGCTCTTCTGGGACATCCCAAAGAAGTGTTACAAGTGGTGCAGGCTCTGCAACGTGTCCACAGTCAAGTATGGCCGGCCCTCCGTGTTATCTACCGGCCTGAGGAGGAGGGTGCTGGACACCCGTTTCACCCACACCAGCCAGGAGACTGGGTGTGGGTGAAACGGCATAACAGCAGAACCCTCGAGCCGAGGTGGGAGGGCCCCTATCAAATCATTCTTGTTACCCCCACTGCTCTTAAGGTCGATGGAATAGCGACCTGGATACACCACTCCCACATGAGACCTGCTAATAAAAAGGACCAGGAGTGGTGCCAGGACCAGTGGAAAGCAACTGCAGACCCGAAGATTCCATTAAGAACCAGACTGACCCGCGTGACCGCCACAGACCAGAGCCCCTACGAGAAGAGGAACTAGATGGGACTGTTGGCACAAATTGTCATCGGGCTGCTGATTGTTCTCCTGGGACTTGGACTAGGAGTAGTGGCACCGCAGAACTGGACTAAATTGCAAAAATGCATCTTGGTAACTTTTTATGTTTGCTATACGGGTGGTGTATTGGCCTATTGTTCTTGGGAGGGAGTTTTCCAATCATAGCTGCCCCAAATCCTCATGAGCCTCGTAATCTGACATGAGAAATTATCAACCTAGAAACTCATGAGGTTTGGAACACAACCTCAGGGATGGCACCACTTAACTCCTGGTGGCCAGACTTATATTTCAATCTAGACAAAGTGAGTGATCTAGAGGAAACACCAAAGGAAGGGAGAAAACAACAGAGGCGAGTGTCCATAAGTAGAAATGAGTTTTTGTTTTTGTTTTTTTTTTGCATGCCCGGGGTTCCGACCCCCTACAGAGAACTGCTGAAACCCCAACGCCACAGGGGCCTGTTAGTTGTGCTATGATATAAGGCCCCCTTTCTATGAGGCAGTAGGAATAGCCACTTGTTTTAACCTCTCTTCAGAAGACTCCCCTAAATCATGCCAATGGGACCGTAAGGGCCCTGGACTCACCCTTCAGTCAGTTCTTGGCAAAGGCACCTGCTTAGGGCCAGTGCCCCCCCCCCACCCCAGCTGCACACAGCTCTGTGCCGGGGGCAACAGAACACTAAATCGAACTGAGGGGACAAAGTGGATCATTCCTGGGCCAAGTAGATGGTAGATTTGCTCCAGAACCGGTTTAACTCCTTGCCTTTGTCTGTTTTCAATGGGTCTGAAGAATACTGATTATGGTGTTAGTGTTCCCAAAAATAATATACCACACTAAAGAGACAACGTATGAGGGCATAGTAGGGCAAAGAGTCACCAACCTAATTTTTAAAAGAAGAGAGAGCCTTTTACAGCCATAACCCTGGCTACTCTTTTAGAGCGATAGGGACAGAAACTGGTATCTACTCCCTGGCAATGCAACAAAGAGGGTTTCATAGCCTGAGGGCAGCCATAGATGAAGATATAGCGAGAATAGAAGAGTCAATCTCGCACCTAGAAAAGTCTCTGACCTCCTTGTCCGAGGTAGTGCTCCAGAACCAGAGGGGGTTAGATCTAGTGTTCCTCCAGCAAGGAGGACTGTGTGCTGCCCTCAGAGAAAAATGTTGTTTCTATGCAGACCACACGAGAGTTGTCAGAGAATCTATGGCTAAGGTCAAGGAAGGGCTCGCTCGCCGTAAACGAGAATATGAGCAGCAGGCCGGTTAGTTTGAGTCTTGGTTCAACAGCTCCCCCTGGTTTACAACTCTAATATCCACTCTGCTAGGCCCACTCATTGTACTACTCCTCACTTTCGTGCCATGTGTGGTTAATAGACTAGTGACATTTGCAAAGGAACGGATAAGTACTGTTCAGCTGCTGGTGTTGCAACAACGATCAACAGCTACGATCAAGTACTATAGAACAGAAACATCTAAAGAACCCTGAAGATGAACATGAGTATTCGTCCACCACCTAAAGAAAAAGGGGGGAATGTAGGGCAGAGGAAGGGCAGAGGAATTTGTAGGGCAGAGGAAGGGCAGAGGAATTTTTCCAATTGTCGGGAATTTACTTGGGAGGGGCAATGAGCTAACCACAAACTTTTGCTTCTGGTCATTGCTTGCTTGCTACACCGCTGTAAGGGGAATTATGGGATGAGGTCATTGAAGCACGGGCGACTGGCCCATCAGGCAACTGAGGGCAACCAACCCGCCAATTATTTCAAGAGGCAATAATGGGCAACCAATCATTTTAAAGGTCAGCGCATGATCCACACGTGATCAGCTTGTGCGCAGCTTGTGCACCATGGGAATAAAAGGCATGCCATTGTTCCGGTCGGGGTCCTTGCCTGTGAGAGTGGCCACTGCGTTGGTGCTCTAGGGCTTGGACCCTGGCTAGCCAGAAAATAAACCTCCTCTTGTGTGATTGCAAAAAAGAAAAAAAAAAAGAGAGAGAAAGAGGATTGAAAAAATGTGATTAGCTTAGAAGATGGAGGGCCACTGACAGCTTTTGATAACACAGTTTTCTTTGACCACAGAGGATGAAATTATATGTCATAAGGGTTGAGAAATTAGAAGCAGTGAGTACAGTCATACACAAAGGGACTGAAGCTTCACTCAATACATTATAGTTTGTTATATTTTTCCGTATGACATCTGCATCTCTGCCCTTCCCTGACTCCTACTTTCCTACCTATAGGTGTGTTCTATTCTCCCCCTAACCATCCATCATATTCTGTACTCATTGCCACATTCTTCCTCATTAATAGTTAAACAAACTTGGTATGGATAACCTCAACGTAGACTTGGAGAAAGACAATAAAAGGGAAGATTGGAAACAGCAAAACAGGAGAGTGGTGGGGCCTATTTTTGTTCCTTGCTGACTCTCTTGGTTCATGAGCCCTCAGAGAGCTGCATAGACTTCTCCACAACTAACTTTCTGAACTCCTATTATGCATAAAGGATGAGGCAAAAAATATTAGCACCATAGAAGAGTAGCTCCACTCAATATTAAGTCGTAAAATAAATTGGTGATTATAAATTGAAACACTGACTTGGATGACGAGTTTACACCTGAATTATTCCTTCACCAGCAGAAAGTGCTATAGCGTTAACTTTTGGTTTGTTGTCATTTTATTTTAACCGGGGGCAAATTCTTTGAGTGTTCTGTATGCCCTTCATGTTTTGGTGAGTGAATTAGGTAGCAACCACAGTTTAGAACACAGGTTGGAGGATACTATGTTTTCCCCTAATTTGGTTCCATTATTGGGGACAGGGTGGTATTTGGGTAGTTTCCACATGTTAGTCAGAGTCTTCACATTGTTGATCTTTTGCGTAACATGAACTAGAAGTTAAATTCAGATCTTCTTTGTATGAAGTTGAGGAAACTGATATGTTTCGTTGCACATCTTGTTCTGAAACTATGTTGGATAAGGAGCCTACACATGCGTCTTGCACTGAGCTTTGGCCAGAACACCGCAAATCTGGCCTCGTGTCTTCTGATTGCAGCTCCCTCTGAGTTTGGTCTATGCTTTCCGTGTCCTCTGGTGTGATGTCTCTTATTTGCATACAGTCTACTTGCATGTCTTGTTCTTGTATAACTGTACATTCAAAGTCTTTTTGATCCTTATCTTGACACTCACTATCTTTAAATAGAGCGTCTTGTAATTGCCAATCTAAGTTATGTTGGGCTGCATTTTGGGGAGGTTGCCAGTCTTGTTGCTGCTGGATTTGGTATTCCTGATCTTGGCATAGCTGATTTGGAGCTTTCTTCATTTGAGTTCTCTGTCCTTTGACTTGAAAATTTTGGGATTGTCCCTTTGGGGATTTTACCTCTTGGGCCTGCTGGTCATTGGGTTGCTGATCTTGGTTTTGTTTCTTTGGGCTTTCCTGTTTTTCAGCCCGGTGGTCCTTCTTTTGCCCATCTTTGAACTGACTGATTGGAGCTTGCTTTCCTTTGGCCTGGTGGACATCAGTGTGCTGCTGATCTGGCAGTTTCTCTGGAGTTTGAGAAGATTGAATTCGCTTATCAAGGGATTGCTTCTTTTGGGATAGCAAGTGTCTGATTTGCTTCTCTAGGGCTTTCCATTTTGAAGATTGCCAGCTTTTGGGGTGCTGGTCTAAGGACCTCCTTCTTGAGGAGTGGTAGCGTTTGGTTTGCTGGTCCAGGGAATATCGTCTTGAGGATTTCTTTCTGTGGAGTTCCTCTGCAGAGTCCCACTTTTTGGTCTCTTCCATGACTTCTGATCGAATGTCTTCGTATGGTATTTGTAAAAGTTCCGGGTTTTGACGTTGAATGTTTTGTGGTTGAAGACCTGGGGGTTGCTGAAGTAGGGATTTCACATTAGGGAACCGCTTAGTATTGGGTGTTGAGACTTCAGGTAGCATGACTTTTGACAATGCTTCGGATAGCGTGTCTTGGGAGCGCTTACCTTGAGATGGTGTGTCTTGGGATAGTGCGTCTTGGAAAGGCGTGTTTTGGGATGATGTGTCTAGGGATGGAATGTATTGGTAGGGCATGTCTTCACCTGTCAGGTCAAAAGACTGTACACCATGGATTGATGGGGATTTAGATAGCATGTTTTGCACTGGCAGGGTTTGTACTGGCGGGGCTTGGGATGGCAAGTCTTCAGGTGATAATTCTTGGCGTTTTAGTACAGAATGAGATGGCAAAAATTGGAATGGCAAATCTTGGTCCTGTGCCAATTGGCTTTTCATTTTGGGACGTTGAACAGTAGCAGGCTGTAGGTCTTCACCTTTTAGTTCTTCAAACGTAGAGTCTTCCAGAATGTGCATAATATGTTCTGAGGGCTTTCTTTTTAAAATTGGAGGCAAAAATTCTTCATATGAAGTTGGAAAGATACTTTCCTGTTGTTCACCTGGCATAGATGCAGAAGCTGTGTAGTAAATACTTTTATTACATGGTCGTGACCTGGGTTGGGAGGCTAAAGGACTTCTTGTGATTCTTAACTTGAAGAAAGCATAGCCTCCAAAGAAAACGGGCTGTAGGTTCATTATTGGGTCATCACCAGAAGACTCTTCTTGAAGCTCAAATTGTAACAGAGCATTTTGTCCTGGGCCAGGTTGTTCAGAATTTTGAGGAATATCCGAAGGCAAGAAAAACACAATCTATAAAACCAAGACGTGGGGAGGAATTAATATGACAGAATCATCTTTGATTTATTTATTTATTTTTTTTGCATTTCCAAATTATTTTTCATCCCTTACTTAAGAGAGTAGATAGGAAATAACATCTAGATGAGAAATCAGAAAACAAATACCATTCCTGCCTTCCCCATCAACTCACTGGTATTATTTTGGATATAATTGCATGTGTATGAAATTTGGGAAACTCAGAAGTAATCTAGGCAATAAGGACATTGACTGCAAAAGAGTCCTGTGAACCTTTTTGGGTGATAGAAATGAACTGTATCTTGACTGTGATGGTGGCTAAACAGATATCTACAATTGGTCCAACTCATTGAATGGGACACTTAAAATGGATGAATTTTATTGTTTGTAAATTTTACTTCTGTAAAACTGATATAAAAAAAAGAAAAAAAAATTACCAATCACTGTGCCCAGACTGATTTTTGGGATTTAGAGAACACGTTCTGGAGACATACTACCTGAGTCAGAAACCTGATGTTATGAGTGATGCTTAAGAGGTTATTTAACCTCTTTGTGCTTTAGTTCCTTTGTATGCAAAATAAAGGTGTTATCATAGTTTTGTTAAGATTAAGTCCATGCTCATTGATTATAATAATGACTGACATAGTCAGTATTCAGTAAATATAAACTATATAATTATAGACAATATTTAGTATTGCTGTTAATATTTTTTTCTCTACTTCCTCTCTGGTATTGTTTCACAGAGGAAATTGTTTCACACCCCTTTATGACCCAGGAATAGAATCCCCACATCACAGCAACTTGGGTTCTCATTAAGTCTGATACTTTATGTATGTGGCAGGGCAACAAGGATTTATGTTTGAACAGGCATGACTGAGGATAGCAGATAGGGCAAGAAAGGAAAGCATTGCTACCTCAAAGGGTGGGGCCATTTTAAATGATGATGGACCTTCCTAAATATAGAGGTTTCGGTTCAGCATCTGAGCACACTTCTCTGCCCAATAATGCACCAGAAGTCACCCTGAAGTGTCCCAATAGCAGCTCAGTCTTATAACAACATTGAACGCACCTCGTCTGAATGTATCCAGCACTTGTTTCTAAAGGTTGCAATGGTCACAGAGATGCTGAGCTCTGCTATACTGATGATCAGTAAGACTGACAAGATTCCCTGCAAATAATGAGGAGAAGTAAATGACATGAAAGCTGTATTGTTTTAAAGATAAGCTGCGCAATTTTCATCTCATGTCTTTCTGATAAGGCAGGGATAAGAAACTTCAGTGTCTGTGGGAGCCAGTCAACTGTCCCGAGTGAAACAGGAAGGCAGAGAGTAGTGAGTCACACTACTCACAGGAGACGTCAGTTACTAGTTCCAGCCAACTGTTACCATGTGGGAATATGGGGACCGTGGTGCCTCTTTTGTTTTTTCTTGTTTTCCTTAGGACGCTGGTTATACATATTTTTGAGTTGAAATTGTTCAGTTATTTATTCACCTGTGTGAGCCAAATAGAACATTACCTACAGGCTGGATCTAGCCCACAGATTGCCATTTTGCACGTTCTGCTTTAAGGTAATGTTTAGATTGAGAAGCTGCGTGGTATCGCATAATATCCAAAAAGCTTAAAATCTGAGACAGAGAGAGCTGGGTACAATTGCATCCAAGGTCACACTTAATCTTGGAAAAGTGGCTGATCTCTCTGAATCTTGGTTTCCCTGAAATACATCCTGAAGGCTTAGATAGTCACCATTTGTTGGTAAAACTTAAATGTCTGAAGACCCTACTGTGTGCAATTTACTGGCTGCAGCCATTGAGCAAGGTAGGGCTGGTCTTGGTTTTTGTGGAACTTACATCATAGTAAGGGAGGCAGACAGTAACAAATGATTAGGTATTTACTTAACTAAGTTGTGATAAGTGCTGTGAAGAAGGACCAGGAGCTATGCACTACCATGATGAGCGATCTAACCAGATCTGGAAGGAATTCCTTAAAGAAGTGATGTTTGAGTTGAGGTTTAAGTGTAAGGATGAGTTAATTGTAGAGGTAGAAAAGGGTGAGCACTTGGTCAGGGGACCTTTCAAAGCAGGAAGAGGCTGGTCTTGTGGCCCCGGGTGGTGGGCGCTGAACACATTAGGGGATTCCATGAAGTGGCTGGAATGTGGAGTGAGAAGGATAAAGTCCTGGGGATAATGTCAGAAAGGGTAGATGGGATAAGTGTTATAGGGCTTTGTAAGCCTGTTAAGATTTGGGTCTTATTCCTTTGTTTACCAGGAAGCCAATAAGTAATGTGCTCAGATGGGCATTTTTAAATGATGACTCTGGTCACAGTGTAGACAATAGTTTGTTCTTTGGGACAGGGGTGAGTCCAAGAGACATCTAAAGCCCCTGGTTCTGGATTTATTTATTTATTTAGCTTATGATGTTTGGGTTACAGCAAGAAATCATGAAGTTATACAAGTGACTTAGGAACAAATTGTCCATGATTCTGTATGTAGGTAACTAATCCTGCAGTACCCATCCATGGAGGGCAGGAGATAGATAGATGTGGAGAATTAACCCTTTTAGGATACAATTGGGACAGCAGTAGGCTCCCGCCCATTGGGAAAAAGGGCAAGAATTATAATGTTGTATGATGTTCTTGGCCCAATGAGGACAGGATTTTTTCCCTTATATTGTATTCTGGCTTTCCTTAGTAACATATTATGAGTCTAATTTTGGAATTTATCTCAGAACACATGAGAGGGTCCCCAGGGCCACTTCAATGGGTGATTGTGAGGATTGAATACAATCTTGTGTTCAGTAACTCATAATTCCTTTTCCTTTCTTTCTTTATTGAGGGAGACACTTTCCCATGATTCTACTTCACTTCTTGTCCTAACAGATTCAATATCCTTAAAACTCTAGGACCCAAGCCTTCAAGATACAGCTGGCAGAAACAGAATGAAACCCCAGGACTTATGGAACTAGAGGGAAAGGCCTATTGGAATCACTGACATGCTTAAAAATAATGTCATTGATTACTTATTAGATACTTAAAATTATATCTAAAATTACATTTCCTGGTAAAAATACATCTCATCTGCTTGAGTGAATAAAATTGCTGCAATTATATAAGATAACCTACATCCAAAGATCATTAAAATGCCATACTTTATTAAGTGGCTTGTATGCCTTCTCCTACTGCGTTTTTGCTTTCAGTGTTAATCAAGCAAATGTTTTAGATCATTTTGTCCCTGATTAATGCTGAAAAGATAAAATTTAATCTAATCCATTTAAATGATAATTGCATAAGCCAAAATTGTTGACTATTTACACTGTTCTAGGTACTGTTTTAATTTAAGCAATACTCACAACCACCCAATGAAATAGGTATTCTTATTATCTTCATTTTCCATATGAGGAAAACTGAGGCTCTGAAAGGATATGATGTTAGGCCAAGGTCACACTCTTATATGTGACAAATTAAGGATTAAAATTCAAACAACACAGCTCCTGATACGGTTTAATCATTATCCCACAGCACACTTCTCAACCGTTCAAATGCTGACACAGCTTCAATTATTGGAATAAAATCGAATGAATCATTGCATCAGGACAGAAACATTCAGATACAATTTTACAGATTCATCGCACAAAACAAGACCACTTACAAGGAAAAGCGTTGTCCCAAACACACATATTCCTTCCAGGGAAGGCCTCTGGCAGTAGTTGTATTGATATCTATAGGTGATAATGGTGAGTGTGATCCCAGCAACCGCAACCAGGGAACTGATAACATTCATGCCCGTGACACCTTGTCCCTGAAAAATAGTTTTAAAAATATAATAAAATAAAATCCAAAACAAAGCAAAAATAACTTGTAAGAAATTTTCAGTGCTTTTGTCCTAGCAGATTCCCCTCAGTCTTCCAGAATGTGCATAATATGATTATTATGCACATTGGATTCACATGAATCATTCCAACAGGTCAGTATGGTTGGAAGGCTTGTTAAGTTAAATCCTCATTCATTAAAGTCAGAAGGCAAACCAATATATTAGAATGGACCAAGGGTACTTTATGGCTAATGCTAAGGAAAGTGTTCATTTATCCCAATGCACCATCTCTCATAATCTAGAAGTAGTAGGGAGTGTTAGAAACTTTATTGGCTTAGAAATTAGACCTAATTTTAAGTCCTTGTTTTACAAGGACCTTGTAAAAATTACCTAATGTCTTGGAATCTCCATTTACCTTTAGAAATGTGAATGACATCCCTTGACTTTAGGGTAGTATCTATTTATTCATTTATGAAATAAATGACCAAATATGTGCCAGGCACTGCAGTAGGCCCTGGAGACACAACCATGAGCAGCAGAGATCGTTTCTTGCCATCGTGTGGTTTGCGTTCATTCCCCAGGAGAATTCAGACAAACACCAACAAAATCATGAACACATTTAAAGCTGGTAACAAATGTAGTCTGGAGTTTAAAGGTGTCTTTTCTTGATCTAGGTGTTCCAATATGGAAGGCATAAAAAAATTCAGATTGCCCCACCCAATTCCCTTTGTTCATTCTTATTTGTTTTGAAGGGAGGAGGGTGTTTCTATGTCTGAGTTGCTTCTAAAAAGGGGGAACATCTTATTCGTTTCTTCTTACCCACTCCCAGCACTGATATTGCTTTTCTAAAGGAAAAACAAGGAGAAGCCTCACATCTCAAGTGAGCAGATATTTACTGTCCCTTTATGGATTGTCTTATGACTGTTGTGATGGGACATGCAATGATGCATTTACACAGCTGAAGAGTTTGTGGCTTAGTGTATCAGGACTTGGAGATGTGATTTAATGTTTACCTCCAACCCAGGTCTTTATTGCAAACATGAATTTTGGCAGAAAAAGCACAGGGACATACAGATACGTCATCCCTCTTAGTCTTCAGTCCTTTGTTCTCTCAAGGCTCTACTTTGGCTCCCATAGGACATTTACTAGACTAAGGTCTCTAGGTAAGCAACCTCTCATGTGTATTGTGCTTTACAAAGAACATGCCCAGCCTAGTCTCATCTGATCCTCATTACAATTTTGTGAGGTAGGTAGGACACTTGTTATTCCCTTTTTACAGATGAATGGGGTTCAGGAATTAAGTGGCTGTGGGCACTCCCACAGTTGGTGCACAGCTGTGATGGAAAGCCAGTTCTTCTGATGCCCAGTCCAGTGCTCCTGCCCCCACGCCTTCCTGTCCACCTCTGTCTGCATGGCCCTTCGTGAGTCAGGGGTAGGTCTGCTTTAACCTTAGGATAGTTCTCAGCTCTGGATGGAAGTCAATACAGAGAGAACAGCATTTGGGTCTGCATTGATTTCCACAGGAAAACATGGGAACATTCATCCCCCCAGAACTTCTCTATGGCTAGTAACTATCTCTAGAGGAAACTGGCAGAGGACCATCGGAACAGAGTTAAATGACTAAGAGAAGGCCCACATCTGCAGGACCTGAAACAAGATTAGAGTGGTTAGAAAGGAGTGCTAACATTCACCTATCATCATGTCTTTTACATCTTACTAAATCCTCAAAATTGCCCTTAGAAGTAGATACTTTTTTCCTTTAGGTTGATGCAACAGGGAGTGACATCCTTGATTCAATCTTAGAATAATTCAGCATTGATACCCAGGCCCTTTCTTCTAGACCTTGGGCAGGCTCCAAAGCAAAGCCTCTGCTGGTAGTGGATGTAGGATTGGGTTTGGCGTGCAAGAATTCCTGGGGTCCCAGAACTGGTTTTGATTAGAGCAGCATTTCATAACCTTGGTATTATAGACATTTTTGGTCAGATAATTTTTGTTGCTGTTATTGTGAGAGACTGCCCTGTGCATTTTAGGGTGCTTAGAAATATCCTTGGCTTCTACCCACTGGATGCCAGTAGCACTTCCACCCAGTTGTGGCAACCAAATACGTCTTCAGACGTTGTCAAATATTCCCAAGGGGGAAGGAATCGGGAATTACCCCCAATTAAGAACCATTGAGTTAGAGGGGTGATGAATGGTTTCTAATAAGCATCTCTGAGTTTATTTAACCAGGGAAATGGGGACCAGCATGAGGGTGTAGGGCTAGCAGTGGCACTGGCAAACAGGAATGATCTGATCTGCAAATTAGATGTATCAATATTTTCCTGAGAGAGACTTTATTACTAAAGGCTTTATACATACAGATTATATAAAGCAAATAGAAGATTTCAAATTACATAAAAGTCCCAAAAGTGACTTACCATAATTTTTGTTGACTTCTCATCAATTCCTGTGAGGTAGCCTGTAAGAATATACTGTTGGGAAGGTAAGAGCCAAAGGTTAACAAGTGATGTGTTTGGCCACCTTTCAATAAAATCTCTTTTGGATTCACAAACTGTCTGTCTGTGAATCTCCCAGATCATCTAGTCTTTCCACCTTAGCATTAGGGATGAGGGAGGGCAGGCACTGAGGTCAGAAAAGTCATGTGCTGGACTTGCTCAGTGCCGAACAGAGACACTCTGCCTGGGTCAGCAGGAGGGGTGACCTCCTCTTAAAGGTCCAGAAGATACCAGCCAGATGTTTGGCTCATCTGGGCTCCCAAAAGAAAGAGATTCCTGGGCTCTGGGCCTGGAAGAGGGTAGAAGGAGCTCTGTCCGTTCTGAGCAGGTGCAGGGAGACTTTTCTCAGGGAAGACCCCTCTAAAGGCTGAGATGGGGACTGCAATCCAGTGTGGTTTTCTCAGTCACTCCTTTTCCAGGACCATAAAGGGAAAATTAGAACTCTGTCACCCAGCATGGAACCCCTTACATTTTTTTAATGTTCTGGGGATGGGGACCTCCTCTGTGGGAATCGGCAATGGACCTTGAGGACATCCAGGTCTTGGAGTCCAAGAACCTCCCGGGTGCGGAGATAGGAAAGGTACCTTTGAGACCCCTCTCCACTTCATTCCCCATATTGGGTCTCCAGGTCCTATCAGTTCTACCTCCAAGTCACCCCTCAAAGCTCTCCATCTCGCTCTATCTCCATTGCTGCCCAGCCCACTCAGGGCACCATCTTTCCTCCCCTGGACCAGTCCAGCCTCCTCTCAGTTGATTCTCTCAGGTTTTCCGTTACCATCCTTGAATTTGTTTTTCACTCAGAAAACACCATAATATTTCAGTGATAACAAGTCCTCAAATGTTACTACCATCTTTAAAATTTTTCAGTGGATTTTTTTCCCCCCTTACTTTCATTTTGAAGTTCTGTGTTCTTAATGTGAGCACAAGGGCTGGCCGGACTTGGTTCCATGACTTGGTTCCATTTATGGCCTTATTTTTTTATGCCACAACCATAGACTCGTTGATCTTCTTTCAGTTGCTCTTTCTCACATCACACCCTTGGCTCATGCTTTGTCTTTGAGAGGAGCTAGGTGCTTTCCCTCCTCTTCACCCAGTGAGCACCTATGTGTGAAGCATTTCCCTGACCTCCCAGCACAGGTGAGTGCTCCAGGAAGCCTTCAAATGGCACCTAGGACTCCTCTCTTAGAGCACTCAGCACAAGTGTAAGGACACATCCATGACTTTGTGCTTTTTCATTTCTAGCCTTCCTGTTAGATGACAGACTGGCTAATTCTGAGAATAATATACCACTTCTCTCAGACAGGGCCTTGTATATTAGTACTTCTCAGCACCTAGGACACTACTGAAGACATGCTCAGTACGTATCTTTGCAAGGAAGAGTGGCATTTTGAAAAGCCACTCAGGCCAGAACATCATTATAATTCACATGTGAGATTACACACAGTCACGCTGGGAAAATTCTGTTGTGAAATGGGGAAGTGAGGAGTTGGTCCGTTTGATTTTCTACATGAAGCATGTACAGTTTGAAAATCATATTCAGTATTTTTGTATTGAGAAAGTGAAAACACTACCAGTTGTTTTTGAAATTCAAATTATAGAAAAAGGCATGGGATTTTTATGTTTATCAAAAGAAGTGTGAGTTTTTAATAGAGACAATGGTCTAATGTATTCATTATTTCATCCATGTGCTCATTGACTGATTGATTCATTCAATCATTCACTCATTCATGCACGCTATACCTCAAGCATGATTCTAGATTTTGGGACTGTAACAGCAATAAAAACAACAATATTCTTGCCCTCTTGGGAGTGTATGTTTTCAGAGGGGAAGCTCTAATGAGTCTACCCTTAAATATTATGGCCAAGATTAGGAACCAAGGCTGTGGGATTGGGTGAACAAAGCACTATACTAAGAATAATATTTATGGCTCTGTTATTACCTACCTAGATGAATGACATTCATAAAATTATCTCTGGGCCTAAGAAGAGGGTTGAGCTATAATAATCTTAAAATTATTCCTAAGCCATGGCAGTCTATGATTCTGTGAGCACTAGCTAGATGTGCTTAAATTATTACCTACTCTCAAGCTCAATTTCCTTATGTGCAAAGGAGAAAATAGGATATTTGCCCATCTAATCTCCAAGATTGGTAGTGAGGAGTCAATGACTTACTCCACACACAAGGGCGCTGAAAACTTTAAAGCACTGTACCCCTGAGAATAGTTATTACTATGATGATGGTAGTGCAAAGACCAAATAGTGTCACTTCTTTTGCCAGGAAGGGGACTGCTTTTTTGGTCTCCTGGGGAACAAATTTATGGAATTCATTATTCTAGGACTTGAAGCAGTTCAAATCAGTCTTTATCAGTTTCTCAGAAGCTCCTAACCAACAGTACTCACAATTAATGCTCCCCAGAATGGATATCCTGTGAGGAAAACGAGGGGAAATTCTTGGGAGAAAACAAGGAAATTAAATACAAATATCATTCCAAAGCCTATGATGATGAGACCAAGCATGATCTGGAGAGCCTGTGAGGAGAGAAACGAGCACGTGAGGTTACAAGTGACCTCGCCCCTTTGGGCACCCCCCCAGGTCCCTTGGACATGCCTTTAGGCAACGACATTTCCTGCCATCTGAATCCCTTCTCCTCTCCCCTCCCATTTGCCAACCACTCTCAGACATTCAGAAGACTCAGTTCAAGTGTCTTTTCCCCATCATCCTTGCTTGAGTCCTTTGGATTCAAATCCTTCACTCTTGTCCTTCACTGCTTCCTGTGTTCCCTGGGGTTACCAATTTATCTTGTATCAGACTGTTTTGAGCACCTGTCTGGCTCCCCCTAGATTGTAAGCTTCCTGAGGACAGGGACTACAAATTATTCACCTTTGCGTTTTTCCCCTTCAGTAGCACAAGTGCCCTAGTACTGTTCTCATTTCCTCCACCATATTCCAACATTCACTATATGCTTTTGGAATTGGGACTCATTCCAGTTCTCTGGAGTTTGCAGACATGGAGTGGAGAAACTGGGGTGAACTTTTGTCTCACTTCCCCTTCATCTAAGGCCTGGCCAGAGATAGGAGCAACCCAGTGGGTCCATCAGCCTGCAGGAGTCTGTAGGGAGATGAATAGCACAGTGATCTTGCAGGGGCAGTGGCTATTCTTGGGGCAGAAGTGGCTGTTCAGCAGTCTAGGTCTTGTCCCCAGGCCACACCTCTATGGTACCACACTGCAAGTAGTGATTTTACTGTTGTACTAAGGATGGAGGCCATGTAGACAGCTCTCCCCTAAATATATTTATGATGGAAAAAAATTTTGTGTGTATATTTATCATGTGGTTCATTATGGTGCTTTGAATATGGTTTTCAAAGAACTACCTATGCCTGTAAGAGCACAAAGGGGAAGTGTAACCTCTCCTCTAATGGCTTCTTAACACTAAGGGAGGTGGCACCACACCCTGAGGTTGCTTCCTCACTAAGATATTTCAGAATTTTGTACCAGTTTCCTGATTTCTTTCTGCTAGGATTCAGATACCAGTACTAGCTCCTTATGAAACGGCCCTAGGATTTCCTCCAGGTTAGGAGACTTACTAATTAGGTTAAATAATCTATTTCTTAGCTTTAAGCCCTCAGAAACATTGCTAAGACATGAGGCACACTGTGTGTGTGTCCAAACAGAACTTTTTCTCTTGCTTATCAAAATCTAGGGAGCTGGTGTTATTGGCTTTTCTGCCGATGATCCAATTCTTTGTACAAGCAAATGACTGAGAAGTATTTGTGATTAATAAAGAAGGATACATTGGAGATGAAAGATGAAGGGGGAAGTGGAATCAACTGCCTCCCTGAAAATCATTGTACAGTGATATCTCTGAAGACAAACAGGAAGAGATAAACCTCGTTTCTCCCTCCAGGAAGACCCATTGATTGGAGTGGACTTACCCCCAAGACTTTTGGCTCTCCCCTCAGGAACTCCAGCAGAGAGCTATGAGGTCTATAGGGTAATGCAGTAAATATGGTTTCCGTTGGTTGTATGGTGATGAAATGAGCTGCCCTTTTGTCCCGGGATGGTGACTCCATGATTCAATGGCAGAACTCTATTAAGAGGATAAGCGAGTGAATGTTGTGGCCCAAATCATGGTCTACTTCTCCACCAGTGTCACATGGAGTCCTTAGCAATGAAGCCCTTAGCAGTTAGTAGCGGAATCACAGAATCACAGTTATTGAGTCACAGACTCTTAGAATCCTAGCGTATACCCAGTCCCCTATCTTCCTGGTGAAGGATGCAGTTATCTGGAAGACTTACTCTTTTGTCAAGTTGTTTATAAATATATGGTAAACACAAAATAAATAGATGGTCTATATACAGACAAGTCTCCATACCTATGTTCATGAGATATAAAGGAACTAAAACTTATGAATATCCACTACATCCCAGGTCCTGTAGAATACATTTTGTTTGTTTTAAATCATCAACATTTATTCTTTTGACAGTTCTATGGTACTGAAGCTGAGGATCAGAAAGGCTAGGTTGCCCACAGAGAAAAAAAGGCAGACAGAAGCAGCCTGCCAGCACAAGCTCTCAAGGAAAAAAGTGAAAATTGCAGGCAGCTGCCTACATACAGATTGCTCTTCTCTAAAGGAACATTGTGAAATCGCAGAGGAGAAACACGGGACATTCAGTGTGGAAAGAAAAGGTGATGGGGCGATACTACTTAACAAGATCAAGATCAAAGTATGCATGGAAAAGAATAGGAGGATAGAGCACTCGGGTGCTAGACAACATAAGGAAGGACATAATAGAACTTAAATGAAAGAGTCATTTAGGCAATCTCAAAACACAGCAGAAAGCTTCAGCAATAGATTAAACCAAGGAGAAGAAAGAATCTCAGAATTCGAAGACGTGGCTGTCAAGCTAACCCAGTCATTTAAAGAGGCAGAAAGAAGAGAGGAAAAAGAGCAATCACTTAGAGAGATATGTGCCTATGAAGTGAACTTACATACAAATTATTGATATCCCTGAGGGGGGAAAAGAAAGAGTTAAAAGCATGACAAATCTGTTTGAGGGAATTATTAAGGAAAAGTTCCCTGGTATCACCAGAGATCCAGACATCCAAATATAAGATGGTCAACAAACACTTGGAGGTTTCATAGCAAACAGGACATTTCCAAGACACATAGCACTCAACCTGGCCAAAGTGAACACGAAAGGGAAATTTCCACAGCAGCTAGACATAAGCAACAACTGATGTACAAGGGAAAATCCATCAGGCTTACAGCAGACTTCTTAGAGGAAACCTTACAAGCCAGGAGAGAGTGGGGCCCCATGTTCAATCTTCTCAAACAGAACATCTGCCAGCATAGAATTTTGTATCCAGTAAAACTAAGTTTCACAAAGGATGGAGAAATTAAGCCTTTTCCAGATAAGCAAACACTGAGGGAATTTGTCATGACCAGACCTGCCCTGCAGGAAACACTCAGAACTGCATTATACACAAATCAGCACTCCACCCCCGCCCCCGCCCCACCGTGGTCTAAAATCACCCCAAAAGGCTAAAGCTCACAACTCCTATAAAACAATAACATAAGGAAAAAACCAAAGCAACAAGGCACTACCCAATATGATGAACAGAACAGTGTCACATACATGAATTCTCTCTCTTAACATTAATGGCTTAAATGCACCACTCAAAAGACATAGGCTGTTTGAATGGATGAAAAAACACAACCCAAGTATCTGCTGCCTCCAGGAGATACATTTAAACCACAAGGATGCAAATAGGACCAAAGAGAAAGGATGGAAAAAAATATTCCACTCAAATAGAAACCAAAAGAGAGCAGATGTAGCCATTTTCATATCAGACAAGATTGACTCTAAATCGACAGTGGTAAAGAAAGACAAAGACGGTCATTCTATAATGGTGAAGGGAGAAATTCAACAAGAAGACATAACAATCATAAATACATGCACCTAACACAGGACCTCCCAGATACATAAAACAAATTTTGCAAGGAAATAAATAATAGCATTGTAATTGCTGGGGACTTTTAATACTCCCCTGAGAGAGTTGAATAGACTGTCAAAACAGAAAATAAATAAACACTAGACTTAAGTGGGATCCTAGAAAAATGGACCTAACAGATATTTACAGAAAGTTCTACTCCAAAACTACTGAATATACATTATTCTCATCAGCATATGGGACATATTCCAAGATTGATCATATCTTAGTCCAGAAAACATGTCTCAACATATTTAAAAAATTGAAATCATACCATGTATTCTCAGATCATAGTTGATTAAAATTAGAAATAAATTCTAAGTGTAACAATTCCACACAAAATCATGGCAATTAAGCAACTTGTTACTGAAGAACTATTGGGTCAATAATGAAAAAAGCTTTTTGCTGATGATATGATCTTATGTCTAGAAAACTCCAAAGATTCCACCAAGAGATGCAGCAAAGACTCAGGTTACAAAATCAATGTACACAAATCAATAGCATTTCCATATTCAAGTAACAGTCAAGCTGAGAGTCAAATCAAAGACTCCATACCATTTACAATAGCTACAAAGAAAATGAAATCCCTAGGAGGTGAACCAAGGAGGTGAACGACCTCTACAAAGAGAACTACAAATCACTGAGGAAAGAAATTGCAGATGACACAAACAAATGGAAAAACATATCATGCTCATGGGTTGAATCAATATTGTTAAAATGTCCATATTACCCAAAGTGATGTACAGATTCAATGCAATCCCCATCAAAATACCAATGGCATATTTCACAGATCTAGAAAAAAAGAATTCTATACTTCCTTTGGAATGAATAATAAATATTTTATTATATTTTGAAATATTTTATCTAATATTTCAATCTATAGACTTGGACCAGAAGGCAAGAACTAGGCTATTTCATTGAAAGCCAGAATGGCAGAGTCTTCATGGGACAACTACATTCAGGGTGATATTCTTTGAGTGCTTTCAACTTGCAGTTGCCCATCCTTCCTTGAGTTAGTGTGTGTGTTTCCATAAATAAAATGAGATATTTGCTTCCTCAGTAAATTCATCCTTCTGCATGTGTTACCATGACACCCTCCCCACAGCCTTGGGAGGGAGGTTCTGTAAATCATACCCATTTTAAAGGCAGGGGAACTGCTGGTAAGTGGCGGAGCTGGAAACCTGAACTTGGCTGAAAGTTGACCTTTTCTTGTTCCAGACTTCATACAATAATCCTGTCGTGGATTTGTTTTTCTATTGCTACATAACTAATTACTATTAACTACAATAAGCCACAGATTCAGTGGCTTAAAAAAACACACATATATTATCTTACAGTTTTTATGGATCAGGAGTTGAAGCACAGCGTAAGTGGGTGCCTCTGCTCGGGGTGTCACGTGACTGCAGCCACTGCAATCAAGATACCAGCCAGGCTGTATTTTCATCTGGAGGTTCAAATGAGGAAAACCTACCTCTGAGCACATCCAGGTTGCTGGCAGAATCTGCTTCCTTGTAGGACTGATTGTAGGACTCAGGGCCCTGGGTGCTGCTGGCTGGCGATTAGATGCTGTCATCGGATCCTAGAGGACACCCTCAGTTCCTTGCTTCCTCAGTAAGGCTGCTGCCTTCATTGGGCCAGCAAGGATAATTTCTTGCTCCAGTTGGCTAAGACAGGAGGCAGGATTGTGATAAGGAGCACTGTGCTAAGGATCCCAGTGTGGGTGGCTCAGCCACTACATTGCTTTTTAAATCCAGAGGCAGAACTCAGGTTTCTGGTCTCTGTGTTAGACATCTTCCTGGACTTGGAACTTCCACTCCTTTTCTTGCTATGAGTTTTAGTAGACTTTCCTTTTAGTGCTTCTGGCCTAATTGGTTGCCCAAACTGAATGTGGCCGTGATGCAAAAGGAGTCAACAATGACTCCCAAATTCCTGAGTTTAGAAACTGAGTGAAGAGTGATGTCATTTGTAAAACACAATCTGGCTGGTGGGGAAGCGAAGGGTGGCAAATGAAAGATGTGGTATCCTAACTGCATCTTCCATCATTTTGGCAGACCAGATATTCTGAAGGACCTTTCTATAAACAGCAAAAACAAAAACAAAAAAAACCCTGAACAAACAAATAAGAAGTAAACCCTGGGTAAAATATGATTTTATTGCGTTTCTGGGCTTACAGGAAGAAGGGAAAGCTCCAAGGTCCTCCATCCCCAGTTTAAAATAAACACACACACACTTATATATTTGCAAACAGACAAATAGGGGCTGCAAACCTCATCAGGGTGTAGTGAGTTCCCTAATGTAGCTTACAGACCAGTGGAGGCATAAATACAATAAACAAACAACTAAATAAAATGTAAATGTATAGTGTATCAGGTGGTGGTAAGTACAATGGAGAAAAATAAGCACGTGAAAGGGAAAGCAAGTTAGAATTCTGTGTAGATTGACAGAGACATTTCCATTGAGGTTGAGAGATTTGAAGAAAGACCTGAAAGAAGTGAAGAAGTAAGCAATGGAAATACTCGCGAGACGATCATTCCAGATAGAGAGACCTGTACTCGTAAAACTCCTGAGGAAAGAAAATGCCAAATGTCTGCAAAAAAGGCCAAGCAAAAAAGAGAGTAGTTTAATTATAGTCTTTGAATCCAGTTATTTGAGAATAAAGTCATTAAATGAGACAGAGTAGAGCCATATGTTTTCTAAGTACTTTTATTTAAAAATGTTCTTGCGATCCTTAATATCTAATATTTAAGCGATGTGAGTGTGAAAATAGTGTAGAAACAGGGCCTGCGTAGCCACACGACTTAGCCAATTCACACTCCCACAGGAGTTCACATTTTCTGTTATGTCGAGAGAGATAACAGCCTTTTTTTTATATTTATAGTGCATTCTCCTCCAAATTTTGTACAGTAGTAGCTCTTTCAACTTGACCATAATATATAATTGCAGCAATATTTAGTTCAAAATTTAGTCTCACTTTACCTGGAGAAGTTTATAGAATTTATGACCATTTTGGAAGACTGGCTAATAAAATTTTATTGATGTGGGCTTCTGAGAAATTATTTCCCAGAGAAATTAAATGACTTATGCTGAACAAGTACAAAACAAACACGCTTTTTTCCTTTTTAAGTTTATTGCACAGTATCTGAAAAGTCTGAGAGTTCAGAAAAGTCTAACCACACTTTGCCATGGGTGCTGGGTTTTTCTTCCTTGTTCCTCCGAGGCCAAGAGTTGCTCATTTCTATGACTTTGAAGAACTCTTTCTGACATGCTGGATATGATCTCATGACTAAGGCAAAGAAAATTCACTCTAGAAAAGATAAAATTTGTTAGTAGTTTTTAAACATTGATTTTGGAGGTTTTTTGATATTTATAATGCATTCTCCCCCAAATTTTGTACAGTAGTAGCTCTTTCAACTTTACCATAATATATAATTGCAGCAATATTAGTTCAAAAACTGCTATTCTCCAGCCTGTGAATCAATTTACTATTTTCTAATGGGATCACAGTTAAATCATAATTCTTTCAAATCCTCCCTGCCCCAAATTTTTTTCCGGTTTTTGCCGAAACCTCCTGGGGCCAAAAAAACCCTGGCCCCCCGAAAGTTTGCCGAAAAAAAAAAACTTAAAAAAAAAATAGATTGGAGTAAAGGCATACAAATTTGTTTAACTTGGATACATGAGAGCCTTAAGAATAAAGAACCAAAGATACAAGGAAGTTTGTCCATTTTTGTGATTAGGTTCAACAAAGTATGGGCAGCTGCACAGAAATGTGATGGGACAAAAAGGGTCTGATCTAATGCTAATAGACTGAGCGGGAAGACACAGCAAGTCCTGTCTGGTTCTTCCTGGCCTCACTGAGCATGCATTCCTTCCCTCTCTGGAATGGGGACCTTATGACCTATAAGTAAAACAAGGTAGTTCAGATAAATCTCCTTATGGACGGTTTTCACATAGAGTATTTTTAGGTTTTATGGCTGGCTTACGAGAAAAGAGGTTCTGGTTTCTACGACCTATCTTGGGAAAGAGGGATTCTCTCAATAATTTCTACGCTTAGCCTCAGGGTAGAATGAGGCTAAAGGAGACAGGAGGCAGGAGGACAGGAGAAGGTGAGAGAAAAATGTTTGCTTCTTAGGCTGTTTCTGAGGCTGTCATTTTGGGGTATTGTTTTCTAAGACCAAACAAGCTTTTAGAGGAAATGAAAATATTTTGAAATTATAATATCATGAGCTAAGAGGAAGTAAGGAAGAGCACAGGAAAGCATAAAGAGAACCAGGAAGTCCTAGTAAAATTTCATCACATTAAGCAAGAGAACTTGGTCATGGAGACTCCCCTGGCTAGGTGGTTGCGCTCGTAACAGTGAGAGGATGTGAGTTCTCATTCTCAGCCCATTAGTCCATATCATTCATTTTCCATGTAATTTTATCCAAGCCTTGGTTCTTTTGGGAAGAGTTGGGCCAAGTGATTTCTAAAGCTAACTAGCTTCACACTAAGCAATTCTCTACCTGGTCCTGCTGCCCAGTATGCACCAGCTGATCCCACATGACTAGAGTGTCCTCATGACAGAGCCCAAGTTTATTGACCTCATTTCTTTTTACCATAAAACTCGCCTTCCACATGCATCTCACGCCCAAGTCTTGACTCCTCTTTCTGCTGCTTTTCGAGTCTGGATCTTTACAGCTCAGACCTGGGATGCCGTGGGTATCATGCACCATGTCAGCATACTCACCCCAGGGTTGTTGGCGTAGAACCGTTTCCACCAAAAGACAGAAGTGTATGCAGCTAGTAAGAGCTCCAGCACGGTGAACGTGAGCATCACCACCAGAACACCCTGCAGATCGGGATGCAAATCGTTGGTACCCGACACAAGCTAGCCCTTGTGCCTCTGAGAGGGGCCTGGGGGACGAAGTCTCCAGCAATGGAGAGAAAAAGGAACAGAGAAAACTGTCTGATCTTCTTTTCTGCTTCCTCTTACAGACAGAAGAAAGGAAATACGCAATGACTGTCTCATCCCATAACCTTGGTATCCCACGTAATGACAGATAAGAGTAATCCGCCATTTATGTCTGGTTGCTTTTATTATTTTCTTTTTTGGTTTTGATGCTTTTTATTGTCATGGTAATATTTCTAGGTATGCATTTGATTCTGTTTATCCTACAGTGCTCTCAGTGCATTTCTACAGTCTGAAATCTCGTGTCTTTCTTTAATTCCAAAGAATTTTGATATTTATTTTTGCATATTCCTTCTCTTCCATCTCTCCTGTTGGAACTCATATTAGATGTGTATTGAACCTTTTCACTTCCCTCTATCCTCCATGTCTTTTAACCTCTCAGTAAGAGCTCCAGCAATATTTTTCAATTTTTTATTTTAGTGCATTGTGTTCTGTGTGATTTAATCAGACTCAAATTTCATTTCACTGTTTCTTCGAATATAGTCAATCAGTTGTTTAACTGATCTGCTCAGTTTTTAACTTTAAAGACCCCAGCTTTCATTTCCCATCATGCCATTTGATTCTTCTTCAAATCTACTTGTACTTTCTTCTTACTGTCCTTTCGTTTTGATTGCAATTACTTTTTTTTTAATCATTTAAAATATATTTTGAATATAGCTTCATTCAAATTATTATATTATATCCAATTCTTGGGCTACTAACTTTCATGTTTTCCCATCTGTTGCCATTTCCCGTGGTTTTGTTGTTATTATGTTTTTCATAATATTTTTATTGTTAGATGATTTCAGTGTGTAGGTGGTGGTGGTAGTGGGTCCTTTGACATATGGGTGTGGGTTTACGGATGTCTCCCTAGATATTGGCTTTAGGTTTGATTCTGCTAGAACCTCAGGAGTTTCACAGATCCAGTAACAGCTTTTAAGTTAATCCCTTTATTTGAGGTTCCCTTATTTTAAATGTAGTTATGAATCTGGATACCATACCTGCACAAGGCTTAATGAGCTTCTAGCTAGGATCAGCTTCTTGGGATGTTGGGCAGAAAGCTTTTCCTGTCTTATTTTCACAAGTTGACTAAATATTCCATCTCAGCTTCTCACATTTTTAATGTGAGCTCTATGGGCCTGACAGATGTCAAATCCTGGCATGGGCATTAAAACTCCATTATCCTGGCCTCTAACACCAATGTTTCTATCCAAACTGCCCTGGTTTGCTGGCCTCAGCTATCATTTGATGATTTGCTTTAGGATTGTTCCTGGATTCTGGAACTTAAGATATTTTTCTTCCTTCCTTTCACCTTCCCTCCCTTTCTTCTTCCAACTTTGGAGATATATATATATATATATATATATATATATGTTTATATGTTTAATTTTTAAAATTTCTTCCTTCTGTCCAGGTAATTTTGCTTAGTCTACCATGTTGCAACTTCTCTGATGTTGCAGGAAGTTGTTTTGGACTCTAATTGTCTGAGAGTGGGAGGCAGTTTGATGAAATAAAATTATTTTTTCTTTCAATTAAACACCCAATATCCCATGGGGAGGATGCCTCTTCCACCCTCCTTGCTTTACGTGATGTCTGTCCTGCACTGGAATTACACTATCTCCCTCCTAAAAGGGTCTTCATGCTTTTCTACTTCCTTAAGCTCCTGGATCAAAGGGCTTGCTTTTCACAACCTCCGGGTCACATGGGCAAACTCACAAAAACCTGCACATGTTCTCTGAGATTTGTGAGACAGAGCCAAGGGAATGAGAGACTGCCTTGGGTTCCCCCTGCTCCTACCACAAGGAGTCACAGAGGACATCATTTTCCTTAAAAGGCCACAGGTTTATGGTGTTAACACTATGATTCTATATTTGGAGGATTGACTAAGCCAGATTTATCACCATCAACAGGTGGTAACTATCAACTCTTGGGGAACAGTGGCAAGAAAACACTGCCCAGAGATGTTGACATTTCCGTGATGGGTCAAATCCACTGGTCAGCCACCTCCCATCCCCTCTACTCTCTGCCAGCCCTGCAGGGACAAAGTACCATAATTGTGTGTTTGGGCTTAAAGTTCAAGTTCTGGGACTAACTTAATGCAGCATACATAGGCATGCATTTGAAGAAATTGCACTGTGCGGCTTCTCCTAGCCCTCAACTCATGGATGATAAGAAGACAAGCAGCTCCAAGGGGTAGGGGCTTTCAACTCCAGGAAAGGAAGCCCAAAGAGCTAAAACCAAATTTAAATAAAAAAGAATATTTCTGCCTACCTTGAGGAAAAAAAAAAAATGCCTGCTCGACAAAGGGGGTACTATAGGAGTAAAACCTATTGTGGTTGGAAATTTTATTATTGAAGAAAGACCACCGAAGGCATAGGCTCTCCACTGCCCTTCTGGTTTCCTTTTTTGCCTTTATGCAGCACGTCCCCCACATCATGCAGTCTCCTGACCTGCCTCTTCCAGCCACATTATTTTTTTTTTCCCTGTCTGCCTCCAGGCATTCAGACCAACAGGACCAGAGACTGCTGAAAAAGCAGAGAATACCCAAAGGGGAGACACTGAGATTTCATGACAGGATATTCAATCTGAAACTTCTTACTGTTACAGTGGCAATGCTCAAGCGGCAATCCTCGACTTCATACATTGGATAATAGTACTCCGAATAAGGCGATGAAGATAGATAGTCCTTTTCCGAGTCACAATGTTGAAAGGCAGTCCCCACGGCTACCATGCCATCAGCGAGGAGGAATAGGCCTGCCCCAGCAGTAAGGGAGCTCACTGCATTTGAGATCAGGCTGCTCAGGGTCTGGAAGAGAAATTCCACATTAGGCTCTTGCCGCAGAATCAGCACCTGGTGCTGCTGTCCCTGTCCATTGTACCACAATGGGGCTTCCTTGTGTCTGTTTCCTCCTCCATTCTGTGTACTCCAAAGTGGACACACATTGTGTTTTATTCATCTTTGTACCCCTCTGTGCTATTTAGTGCATCACATGATATAATAGATAAATGCTTGTTGAATAAGAGATTACATGAATAATTCCTCCTTAGGGAGAGGGGTTCTGGACCCTTGACTCTCTATAGCACTCGAGATGGAGACAGTACTGCTCACACCCCTGCCAACATTTCCCCGTCTTCCTCAACAGCCTTAGAATAATTCTACTACCTAGGGGCTTCTAGAATATGGCCTTTGGTCCCTTCTGGGAAACCCAGTCTGTGGCTTTGCCTTACATAGAGGACAAGCTTCAGAGAAAAGGCAGAGCAAACTGGAGACGTTGGAATACCTATCTGTAGGGTAATCAGGGCTATGGGCACATAGCATATGCCTTCAACTGCCAAGTCACTGACCTTCAATTGACAATCAATGTTTGCTCAAGATGACAAGCATTTGCCCCCGATCTCCCTAAGTGGGCAATGCACAAAGCAGAGGTGTGTGGGCTTAGACCATATGTTCTCTCTTTCTACCCACTCACAAATGAAAAAATTATCAGACTGTAGCCATTTCCCTCACAAACCTTGGGAGGGTTGGGGGAGGAAGCAGCTAAAGCCTTTGCTCCTCCCCATAGCAACTTTCCCTCTCCTCTGCCACCCACCCACAAAGGTGACATAGGGAAAAGCCACATCCTGACTCAAGAAGGCACAGGGTCTGGCTGGTCATGGATGAGGACACATGGATGGGGTAGAGGCTGGTGTATGTTCTGGATGACTGAAGCTTCAGTCTCAAACCCAGGACTAGGGGGCCAGGTTTTGAAGAGTTCACAGCATCGGATGGGGTCAGAGTTCTGGACCTGGAATCAGGAAACCTGAGCTCCCACCCCAGCTCTGTCACTGACTCATCTGTGTGCTTGAAGAAGTTGCTTCCTACTCTGGGTTTCAGTGTTCTCATTTATAAAATGTGGAGGATGAACATGCTGATTTCAGAAGTGGCTTTCCTAATGTCTGAATACATAGAAAGAGAAGTCTATGCTTACAGTGACCTGATACAGTGTGGGCTCCATTGCTCATGTGGCAATTTGGGGCCAAGGCACCGCCTCTTCAGGCTGTTCTTCCTTCAGAGACTCAGACATGAAGTCACGCAGCTATGGGACCAGGGTAGAAGAGGGCAGGGCAGCCCTACCCACAAACAGCATCCTTCAATGATACTTGAACAGGGAAGAGCATGTGCTGGAAGCCTTATAGACCAGTGTCTTTGGGAATGAATCCTCATGCACTGGGAAAACCCTTTTCCCAAAAAGGTAGAATAAGACAGAGGAGATGGTATGATGAATGTGGTCTCACAGGCCTGATCCACCCGGAGGTAGCTATTCCAACTTCTCCAGCTTGCTTCTGCCTTTTCTCTGAAGCTGCTCCTTTAGGTAAGGCAAAGCCATAGATTGGCTTTCCCAGGCAGGACCAAAGGCCATGTTCTAGAGGCACATAGGGCAGTAGAATGATTCTAGAGCTGTTGAAGAAGTCAGGGGAGATGTTGGCAGTGGTGAGTCCTCCTCTGTGTTCAGTGCTGTAGTCAGTGCTGACATTGCAGACAACCCTGCCTCCCTCACCCTCTAACATATGGACTCTCTACAAACCTTCTCAGATAGGACTCAAATTTGCTTACCATCATTCTCCTCCACTTTGCTCTGAACTGATTTTTTCTTTCCTTGGGCGTCCAATTACCAAGGATGAGTCTTTGGATGGAAATAATCTCCTCCTGCCCAGAAAGAAATGCCAGAGTCCTCTTCTGGGCAGGGGAACGAATGCCTCCCTACCTCATATTTGACTGGATGAGGTTTATTTCAGTTGCTTAAATAGTGGAAATTAAAAATATATCATGGACTTGTTACAACTTGTTACCATGGCTACCGAGTAGGGTGAACAACCATCCTGGTTTGCCTGGGGACCAGAGGGTGTACTAGGATATAGGGTTTCAGGGCTAAAACTGAGACAGTACTGGGCAAACTGAGACAGTTGGTCAACCTGACATTGAAGAGCTATAATTAGTGGGAAGTTTCAACTCTAGGAAGAGGGACATTTGGTATTGAAAAGAACCTCATTAGGAGGTAAGCTTTTTAGAAAAAGAAAAAAATATCTTTAGCCCTATCTGGGGTGGTTGGCTACCTTATGAAAAGTCAAGGTAGCAACTCATAAAGAGTCTATGATACATTTAAAACTCTCTACTTTTTGAACAACTGAAGTAAACCTCTGAGCTTTCGATGTGATACAAAAGCACCATTTTGATGGAGAAAGAGCGTTGGTCTAGAAGGCAAGAAATTTGGGCTCTACTCCTGGTTCTGCCCATGGGCCAGCTGGGAGAACTTGGGCTCCCTGATCTGTTCTGAGCTTCATGTCCATAAATTGCAAAATGGTGATTTGGAGCTAGAAGGATTAACTCCAAGGCTCCTACAATACCAACAAGCTAAGATTTTGTGGTCCTCATACTTACACATAGCTTAGTTGATTTTTCTCTGGAGATAATTGAGAGACATCCGGAAATGGCAAACTGCTCAGGAAAGAGACAAATGATCAGTTCAATTGTCTCATGTCACTCATTCAATCAAAAAGTGCTGTTGGAAAATTTTTAGGAAGACAACACGGCAGGAATGGTGTGGGTCCATATGGACAGAAAGACCTGATTTCTACACTCAGAATGCTCACATTAAAGAGTAGGCAGATGCACAGGCAGGTTGAGTTATTTTAGTGGAAGTCACTAGTAGCTGAGGAACCCTAGATAGGAGGTGTACATGGGAAGGACAGTGTTACTACATCACAGTGTTGAAAGAAAGGAGGTTGAGACAGACCAATGCCTTGGATGGACAGAGAGATGGGGGCTGCCAACAGAAGCAGTTAAGAAAGAGGCTCTGATGGGACAAGGTGCAGAAGCATATGGACTTGAAGCTGTTGGGATAAGTGGCCTGAGTCAGACTGTGAGTTGAGGGAGCTGGGAAGGACAGTGTCAGATGTGAAGTCTTTATCATAAATCCCCCAAAGTCAGTATTTGATCCCACTAGCATTAAAGATACAGCCGATGGACAGAGGATATTCTGAGAGGGTGAAATGTTGGTTAAGCTTGTGGCTTGGGTATTAAGCAGTCACAGACAGAGAGAGTCAGCATGAGCTAACATTGGCTTCCCCAAGGAAATGCAGGGCCCACAGCCACCATTTAAATAAAGAAGTCAAGGACAAACTGTGCTTTGGGGCAGGAGCAGGCCTTCTTGCATGACAGCCAAGTCTGTGTCCACACAAGGACCGTATCCACACAGAAGTGGTGCCTTGGAATAATTCGTCTGCCCGGAATGTATGCCTTTTTCTCCTTTGCACAGGATACTACATGGAAAAGAAACAATCCCTTGTGGGAGGCCTGAGTCTTCCCTGGCTACTCTCTGAAAAAAAGATCCACTGGGCCCTTCTTAATGAGCCATTATATGGAAGGCAGCAAACAGAGTTTCTCAAGTGCTCAGGGCTACCTACCTCTGAATGCACGGCAGGGGTACCCCTGATTCCCATGAGTCTTACCATTGCTAATCCAAGTCTCTGCAAACCTGCGGCACCTGCCAGTCATGCTCATTTTATTGTTTTTTAAAAAATGGCCTTCTCACTCCTACCTGACAAGTAAATTATTCTTAAAATGGAGGAAATCCAATGGCATCATCAAATCTCCAAAGAGGGATATGAAAACATCTTCTATCTTTCTGGGAGTATGCTGTAATGCCAGGTAAGAACTATCTATGGCATGTCTACTATATTACCTTCCCCTCTTGCCTCCTGTCCCAACCAGTCCCTCCCTGGGATGTTCACTCACACAGGAGCACAGATTAAGCCCCTCTGCTGCCCTTCTTGAACAGCAGAAACATCATGTGGGGCAATGATGGAGGGAAAGCTGAGGCTTCAGCTGCCTTCTCCTGGCTCCCTGCCTCTTGAAGACTGAGTCATTCCATGACTAAGCACCCAGTTAGCATTTACAAAGCATGGCCCCTTTTAGAGACGCCATTCTACTCACACAGAGAGCTCCTACAAATGGGTACCCAGACATCAAAATGTTGGAAACTGCTAGATTGAAGTGGGAGGAGTAGTGAGCAGAAACCAAAATGACCCCCAAGCTAGAAATCATCAGGCAACACAGGATCTGGATAGTCTGTAAGAGAGAAGAGGGAAAATTCTAGAACACACTTTAAACAGATGAAAGTCATTATTTGAATGCATGCACATCGTGAATTATAAAGAGTATAAAAACATAAGGTATAATTTGTCATGTTAAAAAGGAAAAAAATGTTACAAGGTGCAAAGTTATTACAGCTAACCTCTTTTCTTTTTTGATAGGATTGTTAAACTAGAAAATCAGGGAAGGACCATAGGCACATAGCTTTATTTTGAAGATGACATTGGAAAAATCTTTTTTTATTTAATTATTTGAAATGTAGAAGGAGAAAAGTTTTCTGGACAGTAGTCCTGTTAGGTGGAGAGCAAACTTTTCCAGGGAGTGTTGATGAAGGCCTTGATTTCAATTGAAATGAAATAGAGAAGGCCATCTCTACTGCTGCAATTCATCTTATTTTATTCATCATTGGATGTTAATAATAGCTATTTTTATAATACCAATAATAATAATAGTCTACATTTGTTGAACAGGCTCTACATTCTGGGCACTATTCATCTCATCTTTCTTACTTACAGATGAGGAAAATGAGGCATGGGAAGTTGTAATTTGTACAAACCACAAGTGGCCAAGTGGAAGAACTAGGACTTTAGTCATTAGCTTGATCTAGAGCCCGCATTTTCCCCCACCGTTTAATTCATATGCAAATAAAAGATGATGCAAATATAGGAAACATAAAGTTAAAAGAAGTCAACCATTCATACGATTAATATTGACCTCTTGTGTGCCAGGAACCAAGGAATAAATCAAATGAGTATCATGGCCATTGGGGAGCTTATATGTACTATTTCCTCTACAGACAAGTTCCATGGAAGGCAGAATGGAGTTAAGAGCAAAATCATAGGACATGAGGCCTGTGAAGTGCTGGAGGCATGGTGCAAACTATGGAGGGCTTTGTAAGCTATTTTTTTTTTTTTAACCAACTTTGCTTTTCATTCTGAGCAAAAAGGGAAGCCCAATGGGTAATTTTGGGTAAAGAGATTACTTACATTTTAAAAGATCACTCTACCTGCTGCTTTGAGAATAGGTTATAAGGAAATAGGGCAGAGAGATTAATAAGGAGGATATTGCAATAATTCACATGGGAGATGATGTTGACAGTAGAAGTAGTGAGAAGTAGTTGGGTTCTAGATGGACTATGAGGATGAAACTTATAGGAATTGCTGAAAGTTTGAATGTTCGAATGTGGTAAGAAAGGAAAGAATAAAGGTTGGCTCCAAGGGGGTTGGCTTGAGCAACTGAAATGATGGAGTTCACATAGTTCTGAGGTGGGAAATATTGTATGAGGAGTGGGCTTGGGAGGAAGATCAGAATTCCAGTCTGGAGCAAGTTAAGGGAGAGATGTCTAGTAGACATCCAAGGGGAGATGCTCATAGGCTGTTAAATATCTGAGTCTTGCATTTGGAGGAGAGATCGAGGTAAGGAATGTAGCTTATTTTTTTCAAGCATAAGTGAAGATGACATTTAAAGCCATATTAAGGGATGAGATCGTCACTGGAGCAGATATAGAAAGAGAATAGAAGCAAAGACCTAGCTCTGCAGCATTCCAATTTTGGGGTCAGGGAAATAAATGGAAACAGTAAAAGGGGTGAAAAAGGACCAGCCAAGGAGGAAGGAGGAAAACCAGAAGGGAGTGATGTTCAGGAAGCCATGTGAATAAAATATTTTAAATAGGAGAGAATGCACAAATTGAGGGTTATCACTAAATAGAAGATATTCCTAGTATTGGAGGGGAGAGAAAGGATATACGGACACAGATGTGGGTGACTGGAGATGTGTAGCAGCTTGCAGACAATCATTCTCTCCAGATTGCCTCAATGTTTTTAGTGTTACAGGAAACAAAACAATCGATGGAGAATGAGGGCAGGGAAGAATCCTCAGAGGTTTGAGAGGGGAAAGTATGAAATAGTTTTCTGGGATCATAGGGAAGTAAGTGATGAAAAAATATATACTTTTGAGGCAGCATTAACAGTCCATTTGAGGTTATGGTCACAAATCTAAAGTGCTATGTGTGTATGTGCATGTGTGCGTGTGCGTGTGCGTGCGTGCGTGCCTGTGTGTGTGTGTGTGTGTGTGTGTGTTCAGCCAAAGTCAGCTGCCTGCATGCAGGTATGGAGTAGGCAAATGGGCAGAGAGTTAGACTTAAACCAATGTTTCCATTTGCCCGAAGAGTTTGCTATAGGGAGATGAGGGCATGGCTGTCGAGGGTTCTCATGAGAGAGTGAGCCACAGGATCTTGGCTGGGTGAGGAAGAAAGTGAGGTTTTGTGAGAAAAGGATATAATCAATGAGTCTCAATGAAGTTAAAGAAATTAGAGTTGGGTATAAGGATGATTATGCTAACTGATGCTGAATTCTAGAAGGCACAGTTGGGCAGGTTTCCAAGTTGGGAAGAAGTAGGAGTTGGATCTTACAAGGGAGTATTCAGAACCATATGAAGATTAAAGTTCTGGATATGAGGAATAATGACCTAGGACATTTGGGTATCTTAAAGTTACTCATGTGAACAGGGAGAAAATATATAGTGAGGTTAGTACAGATTGTCTCATCTCAAGATGTTTGAAAACTAGCTCAGAATAAGATCTCACTTAATCATACTGAGTATAATTGTGCAATTAAATAAGAAATCTCTACCATACTGAAGGCAAATTAAGAGACACTAGTTTGTTAATTGTGTAGCACTCCAGTAGAAAAGACCTAGTGGTTTGATATAGTTTACAGAAATGCCTGAGTAGGACATGATCTTCCCAGAAAACTCCACTTCATACTCCAATTAGCCTGAAGTCAGCCAGAAATGAGTATAAAATTTCTCCAGGTCCACTGTAGAGCTATAATCTAGATAATTCATAATAAATTTCCTTGCTGTTCCCCTTATAATGAGATGAACTTACCCCAAGAACTGTGACTTCTTTTGGCAGACCATCCAGCAGGTCATTGTCTTTTTGATAAGTGTGTCCAGGTTTCTCTCTTTTGGGGGTAACTGTGCCCTTTGGAGTGAAGGTGTCAAAATCCCCCGTGGTTTGGGGCTGTAACAGCATGATGGTGATGGTGCTGGAAAAGGCAGTGACCTCTGTTAGTTCCCAAGATTTGACTTACAGACATAAACCTCCCAAGGCCTAGACCATGGGTGGGGAACCTGCAGCCTTAAGGCCACATGTGGCCTTTTATTCCCTAAGTGGAGTCTTTTGACTGAATCCAAATTTTATGGAACAAGTCCTTTTATTTTTTAATAAAGATCGGGAATTGCAATATTATCTTGTTTCTGCCAAAGGTAAGATGATTTACTTGCTTTGTGATACTGCAGTATCAACATTAAAGAAATTCAATGCTCATCAGCATTAGGACACACATAAGGAACACAAGTATTTTAAATTAGAGGGAGAGGCACAAAAGGTTGTATTGCAGAAATTAAAAGATGAAAAACAAAAGCAAACACGATTCTTTCAAGCAGCAATAAGACCTGGAAATAATGCCACCAAAGCAACTTATAAAGTAGCTTATATAGTTGGAAAAAAGGGAGGCCATTCGGAGATGTAGAAATTGTGAAAGAATGAATTGTTGAAGTTGTAGGATGCTTAGACCCTGATATCATTTCAAAGTACAAACAGCTACTCTTTCAAGGAGAATAATAACTGATCGGCAGCATGAATCAGTTTTCAACTTGACAGAAAAACTTTGTGCAATACTTCAAAAACAAAATATATATTAATATTATTCAATTACTGTGAATTAATGAACTGATACTACTGATTTGGCGCAGGTTTTATATTTCATTCAGGTCATAACAGATTTTCTTTGCGATGAAGAGTTACTCACTTTGGGCACTCTTGTGAACAGAACATGGGGAATGGATATCTTCAATAACTTTCAAGACAAATATCATGAAGTTGGACTGAATTGGTAAATTTAGTGAGTGTATGTACAGACTGTGCACCTTCCATGACAGGAAAACATGAAGGATTTATTGCACATATAAAAAAGAAGTATTAACAGACCCAGATGCTCTCATTTTTCTTCATGGTACTTTGCATCAGCAAAATCTCTGTGCTAAAGCTACTATTTTAAGTGACACTTTGCAATAAGTTACAAGTATTATTAACTGTATTCATGCAAATCCAACATGACATGAGGTATTCAGTATGCATTTGCCATATCATTCTAATGTGCATTGGCTATCGCAGGGACAGGTGTTAGCCAAAATTTTATCTCTGCGAGAATGGGTAGTTAAATTTTATGAAGAACAGAATCAGCAATGTGAATTATTGAAAGAAGATTTATATAAGAATGCATTTCTGTGTGATGTCATGTCAAATAAAAATGACTTGAATATTTCTTTGCAAGGTAAAACTACAATATGTGGCAAAAAAAAAAATCCAAGCGTTTTGAAAAATGCTATCTTTTTTCAAAACACTTATTCTTCAAAAGGAAATTCCAGATGAACATTTTCCTCAGTTAGCAAAGGTCATGGAAAAGCAGGATGATATATGTGAATCATTTGAAGAATACGCAGCTGTTACAGACCTATTAATTGGAGACTACAATGAAAGGTTCCCTGAGTTTGAGAATCATGACATCACACTCAAATTAGCATTTCAGCCTCATCTAGTTGATATCACCACGGCACTTAAAGAACTACAGATGGCATTGATTGAGCTCCCAGCAGATGACATTTTAAATCCATCATTTATTGCTAAGAGAGATCCAATTGAAATATGGAAAATGCAGAAGAATATCCATGCCTCCAGCAACATGGCCAAAAAAATGCTTTCTTGCTTTTCAACCACTTATTTTTGCAAATCTACATCCTCCTACCTAACGTAAATTAAGACATCCTTAAGGTCACAAACGACTGATACCCATTTACAGGATCAACTGAAACTGCGGACCTCATGCTGCAACCAAACATTCAAATGTTTTCCAACAAAAAGCTGACACAACAAAGTCATCAAAGTCATTAAAAGGTTAGCTGAATTTAAAATTAACAAAGAGCTTTCATTTTTTCTTTTGGAAATCATTAAATACATAGTAGCTAGATTTTTAAGTATCTAGTTGTACATTTTAATGTATAATGTACATTTTAAGTATATCTAATTGAAGTTTCTTGAATGCAGCCTTATTTGATTACAGCTAAATTAATGTGGTCTTCCAACATGAAAAAGTTCCCCACCCCTGGACTAGACTTTGCAGGAACTTAAGAAGGTTTTTCTCCATCACCCAAAGGATTGTGTGTCCCCCAAATATGGGCATCAGGGGAGCATGGAAGGCTAGCATGCCTGGTCCTCCATCTATTGTGGACAAGAAGGATATCACCAGGCGTTCACGTGAGGAACTGAACTACGGGATTTGGCTGGGTGAGGAAAGAAGTGAGGATATAAGAAAGTGAGGTTTTGTGAAAAAGGGATATAATCAATGAGTATTGATGAAGTTAAAGAAAATTAGAGTCGGGTATAAGGATGACTTTTCTAACTGACGCTAAATTCTAGAGGGCACAGTTGGGCAGGTTTCCAAGTTGGGAAGAAGTAGGAGTTGGATCTTACAAGGGAGTATTCAGAACCATATGAAGATGAAAGTTCTGGACATGCGGAATGATGACCTAGGACCCTTGGGTGTCTTATGGTTACTCAAGTTAACAGCCAGAAAAACCACTGTAAACAATACTGTAATGAACATCTTTGTACTTTTGTGGTGTCTCATCTATTCAATTATCTCCTTAGAGTAAAATATTAATAGAAGTGGATTTACTGGGTTTAAAGCTATGATACTTAAATTTTGACACCTATCGCTACTTTTTAGGAGGGATCCTACATAACCAAGATTCTTTATGTTTCACAAGAAGTCTCCAGACTGATGCCTTCATCTCCAAAAGCCACAGTCTGAGAAGATGCTTTGTCCTTCCACATTCACCACGTGGACTCAGACATGGAGTGGTGCCCCACTTTTCAAAACGGCGCTAAATCCCTACTTTGGAGGCAAATCATGGCATGGAGATCAACAGCTCTGCAGAATTTTCTGTTTTACAGAATTCGAATGGAACCATGGGGTCCTCATGCAGGAGCCAGTGTAATTTGCACAGTATTCGTTGAGCATGTGCTCTGTGTAAGACTGAGTGACCCACCAGGGAAATGCAGCGAACTGTAGAAAATCATCGGCTGGCAACTTGAGGGAAACCTGAGACTTGTCTCACCCAATTTTCTTATTTGGCAAGTGAACAAAGTGAGGGCCAGAGAGGGGAACTGACTTACCAATTTGCGCAGGTGGACAGGAGCAGAGACAGGGCTAGAATCTGATTCCTTGGCTGTCTGTTAGAAAGCACAAAATCTCCCCCCAAAAGTCACAATCCAAACCAAGTTACCTACCTGCTCCTGTTCTCACAGCCCCGTCCTGTGTCTGGTGGCTGGTTGGTCAGCCCACTTCTGGGGAGCTCTCAGCCGGAACCACCCACTGGCTGTTCCCACCAGAACGATCGACCTTGCTGCTCTGCTCTCTAGCCTCTGAGACTGCATGTCCCTTTCCCAGAGCAGTGCTTATGATTTCACAGGATATGAATTTTGCTATAGTTACAGACAGTTGATATGTGAACAGTGCCTCTGGTTCCTCTTTCTATGTTTTGAGGTCTGGAAAAACAACACAAAACAGAAGTCACACGTGAGAAAAAGAACTGTGTGCAGACGCGTGAGTTGCGTCGTCCCATGGTCACGGTCAGAATTCATTTTCCCCATTCCTTTGTGGGGGTAGTTAAGTCAACTAGTTCCTTTTAGCCTGAGTTTTCTTACCTATTAAATGGGGATGGATAATAATAATTCCACTCTATGACCATTGGGAGAATTAATAAAGAGAAAGGATGTGGAGAGCTTATGAAAAGTAGACACTTAATAACTATTGATAATAATAAGGTTAATTTTGAATTCGGAAGAATTTATTTTCCCATTTCCATGGCTCTTGATGAACTGAAAAAAACCTGTGAAAACTCAGTGCCTACTTGTTATTTTTTTTTTTTTTTAAGGGGGACAGGGTTTCGCTCTGTTGCCCAGGCTGGAGTACAATGCCATCATCACAGCTCACTGCAGCCTCACTCTCCTGGGCTCAAGCCATCCTCTTGCCTCAGCCTCCTGCGTAGCTGGAACTACAGGCAGGTGTCACCATACCTGGCTAATTGTTTCCATTTTTTGCAAACTCAGGATCTTGCTATGTTGCTCAGGCTGGTCTCAAACCCCTGGCCTCAAGTGATCCTCCCGCCTCAGCATTCCAAAGCGTTAGGATTACAGGCATGAGCCACCACACCCGGCCTCCTTGTGACTTCTTTTGAGTGTCTCTCCATTCTCCATCTCTGGCTTTGTGCTCAGAGAAGTCCAGGCACATCTTGGGAAGGCATTGCATTGCACTCAGAGGCAGAGCCATCAAGCTTTAACAAGCTCATGTTCTGGGAAGTATTGGTTGTTGAGGGGACACTCTTGCCACTGTCACATTCCTTTTAAGGCTTCTTGGAGAGCAGCCTTTGCTCAGAAGGGGAGGGCTCATGATGGGACTGGGAAGTGCAGCCTGGGACAGCAGCTGGCAGCACCACAGGCTATCCATGTACATTGTTGCAGTTTCCTGAAGTGGCAGGGATGTCTCCTAAGAGAGGAGCCAATCTAAACCAGGAAGTTTAAAAAAAAAAAACAACTCATAAAATACTTGGAGAGTATTTTAGTCCAATCCCTTTATTCTCAAATGAGGTAACACTGCTGAAGGAAGCTGCCCCAAATCACATGTCAAATCTGTAGGAGAAGCAGGGGTGTAATCCGAGTCTCTTGACACCAAGGTTCGAGCTCACATGGCAGCAACAGCCTGTAATTTTGTCCCTCTTAACCCCAGTGACCAGCGTCATCTATGGCCACTGCAGGCAAGAAGGCTCCAGCCCAGAAGGTTCCTGCCCAGAAAGCCACAAGCCGGAAGGCAGCACCTTCTCCAAAAGCTCAGAAGGGTCAAAAAGCTCCAGCCCAGAAAGCACCTGCTCAAAAGGCATCTGGCAAGAAAGCTTAAGAGGTTATTGTAAAAGTAATAAAGGGTTTTTTTTTTTTGACATGTTGGCAAAAAAGAAAAAAAAATAAGAAAGAAAACCTTCGTGGTCCAGATTTTTCTCTGGGTCTGTGACCCACTTTGACCAAACTGTCAAAGAAGAACCTTGGTCATTTGGGCTTCTGCCACACCTCTTCCAAGCCTGAGAAGGAATTTATGGTAAAATCAGTTAAATATCCAGTGAGTTTTCTCATATATAAAATGACAATATTACAACAAGGGTTTCAGAGTTGTGAGGATTAAGTCAAATAACATATAAAAGTGCCCAGCACAGAGCCTGACCTATATTAATCATTCAGAAAAAATCTGATCTTCCTTATCCAACCTCTTCTCCCTCCTTTGTGGATTTTATTTTGCAATGTACTTTCATAATGAAGATTTTTTCCCTAAAAAATGAATGAATACAGTTCATGTCAGGTGAGGTAATAACTGCCACCTGGGTTACCAGTTGTATTCTCTCTATATTCTTAACACTCTTCTTGTGAAAATATTATTAATTTAAATATATCTAATATGTACACATACACACTAAATTCAATATTAGTAGATGACAGTATTATTTAGCACTTTGTATTTTACTTTTAAAGTATAAAAAAATCATGTCAACTATATGATAATGGTTTCTTTTTACATTGACTCTTAATTCGAATGCTGTGAAGAACAAAAATATTAAACATAGGCACAAGCCTGGGTCAGGACTCTGGGCATGGCTTAATTGAGTTCTTTGTTTCAGGGTCTCACCAGGTTGCAATCCAGGTGTTGGCAGGGCTGAGGTCTCAACCGAGGCTCGACTGGGGAAGGACTCATTTTCAATCTTACACTGCTGTTGCCAGAATTCAGTTCCTTGCAGGGGTAGGACAAAGGGGCTGATTTTCTTGCTGGGTGTTGGCTGGAGGTCTTTGCAGGCTATTGCACCCTCAATCCCTAAAGGCTGCCCACACTCCCTTACCACACAGAGCTTCCCAGCATGACTGATTGCTTCCTCAGAAACATCAAGGGGGAGAATGAGACAGCAGTAAGGCAGATTGTACCATCTTCTGTAGAATGATCATGTAAGCACCTCCATCCTGTCCCCTCTGCTGTATCCTAGTTATTCAAAGCCAGTCATAGTCCTTGTCTAAGTTCACAGGGAAACAATCACAAAAGGCATGACCACTAGGAGGCAGGAATCATGACAGCCATCCTAGAGTCTGTCCACCACAACTAAGAAAGAAGAGCACTTCTATTGGGATGGTCTGTCCTTCCACATGTGGTGGAAGTAAATCATTAATTTTAAATTTAAAAAAATATAAAATACCTATAACAATAAATGTAACTGCATATTTAATGACAAGAATTAATGTGGTTATAATTGGTTAAGTGATGAAAGGATTTTTTCTGAATGCCACTGAAGGTGAAGATGACATTTCATATCACAAAAGTAACTTTTAAACATTTTAACTAACACTAAGAAACTCAAAGCACATGTGTATTGAGTCAGAAGGTTCATACGATTTTAATCCCACTCTCTGACAAGATCTAACACTGTGTCAAAGACTGAAATAAAAATCGTAAGAGCTTATAATTAAAATATAAATAAAAAGCCAAGTTTATTTGTATATATACATATATATGTTTATGTGTGTGTGTGTGTATATATATATATACATATATATATATATATATACACACCGAGTAAGGAAATATCTCAGTGGGGAAATTCATTAAGTATTCATTGAGTGGGGAAAGTCAGGGGTTTTTTTAACTGAAGAGAAGGAAGTTTCATAATGGTTATGCAAATTGAAGATTGAAAACTTGCAGTCTTCATTCTGCTAGATGAGATAACTACGTTGTTTAAAACAAGTCTCTTTTGTTCAAAGTTCATAATCTATTAGCTTCAGCAGATTGAACCAAGTACAATGAGACACAACATTCTGTTTGATTTATTTCCTAGAAATATGTAAACTCAAAATTAATTGCTAGCCAAAATTATTGGAAAAAATTGACCAACAAATTTTGTTTTTAAATGGTACTAGAATTTTATATAATATAGGTCACGCGAATCTGGAGCAGCCTCACTTCTTTCCACCCTCCCCAACTCCGCAGCTACTCCTGGGCCTCTACCAGCAGGCCAGACCACAAGCCACCAGGCCTCCCCGGATTGTGATGCCGGTGGGGAGGTTCCTTGCGAAGAAAGGCTGCCTGGGCTGGGCACACAGCCTCCCTTTGGTGGGAGGGTTGCCCTCTAGGACACTGATCTGCCCCTGGGGAGACACACACCTCAGTGGGCTGTTCACAAATATCCCTTCTGTGCCCCAGGCAATGCTAGACCTCGGTGCACAGGATCTGGTCTGCAGGTCCGACCTCTGGGTCCCAGAGTTCAAAGTGTATCCCCACCAGGGAGAGGAGTTCCAGTCCCAATTTACCCACAGGGAGCCCAAGCTGTGTCTGTGTCTCTCAGCCTCTGAGTCGGCACCGTTCTCCTGGGAACACCGTGCCAGCCGCACCTGGGAGAGCTGGCGGGTAGTGCGCTCACAGTCTGAGTTCCCCTGAGTCAGCTGTAGGGTCCCAAAAGGGATGGTCCCATTCCCTGGAGGTGCCTCCGGCTGGTGGCTGTATTGTCTCTCTGGGCAGCCGTAGGTAGGGTCGGCGGAGGGGAGAAGGAGGCAATATGGTGCCTGCGCAGGCTCGGGTCTGTGCACACGGCTACGGATGCCAAGGAACTTGGGATCTGCGTGCCGTGTCCCGCTACAGGCTCCCACTAGCTGGTGGCGGCGTCCTCTGGGCCCTTGGTGTCCGAACCTCTCTCCACCGCTGGGCGCCCACCAGCGTCCAAATGCAGGGGAGGGAAAGCGTGGATCTTATCGCAACCTACCGCTTCCATGGTCTCAAGGCTGCTCCCGCTGGTCTCAGACTTCCAGTTCTCCCCCGCAGTCTCCTCCGTGGATCTCCCGGGTCTCAATACCCTCCTTCTGGCCTCGTCCTGCTATATGCCTCGTCTTCTTGCTTCTTTTTTCTAATTTCTGCTAGAATCTGTCTTCTTTTCTGCGACGACACTCTTTTCTGCGGCGTGTTGTCGTCCGCCTCTTGTCCTCCTCCCATGAAGAAATTTTAAGTAAAATTTTATAATGCTCCATACATTTTTCAAATATTTTTCAGCAAATCTTCAAATGAGCTCATAACCAGGTTAATTGAATATGCAAAGACTCCAGCTTCACCTTTGCTGAATGCACATACCTCAGGTAAAATTAATATTGTTCGCAAGATCAAACACTGATCGTCGCAAAAGATAATTTTCTGTCATGATCTCGATCTACACGTTTTTCTCACAAAGAATGATGCCTTTATCTACGGATGTGGCTGTGCACCAGCTAAGGAGATGCTATTTCCCAGTATTCCTTTAAAATGATACCAAATGGCCAATGTGAACTACTTCCTAGCCAATGCAGAACGTTCAGAGGCATACTGCCAGACACAAAATGTGTCCATTTTCTTATTTTAGGTGCTCACTTCTCCCTCCTCTTCCACCTTCCTTTCCGGGTGGGACC